AAATATTAACAAAATTAGTTACGATACGTGTCAACATTTTATCGTTTATAATTGACACGTGTCAACTTAAACCATAATTTTAATTTATAAAGATAAACCATAATTCGTATTTATCATTTATATACCCAAACCAACAAATAAACTGATTTAATTGTAAAATTAAAGTTTAAACCTTATTCCTCTTCTGTAAACAAAAACCGCCATATATTCTAGTTAATTATAAATTTTATATTCCTGTATTATTAATAAACCAAATTAACATAACTGAAATTAGGTTATTTGTTTAATTTTATTAATATTTTTTAATATATAATTATTTATAATATTTATTTTATATATTTCCTTTTTGGATAGGGTTAGTAATATTTCTATTTTATCCAAATATTAACAAAATTAGTTACGACACGTGCCAACATCTTATCGTTTATAATTGACACGTGTCACGATGTTGTTAATGGCTGACTTTGAAAACCAAGGTTTATATAATAAGATTGGTGCATAACTTCAAAAATGAGATGCTTAACCAACAAAAAATATGTAACACAAAGTCACAAGCAGACAAAGGGAAGGAACAAGACGGAGTGAGTATAGTCTGGGGAATGATCGGACCCGACAAAACGCTAGCGGGACATGTGTCTCTCTCTTTCGCATTTGTTATTTTCACAAATATTAATTAGACACGTCTTGTCCTCCTTTTGTGGAATTAACTTTCTAATTATTTTTCCTTTATTTGCAGAAATAGAGCATTTGTATTATATATTTATATTATTCATAACTACGTACTAATTAGGGGAAATAGTATAGCAAGTTTCGTAAGGAAATTAATTAGTAACTCTATGTGTAATTAAAAGTCCAAAAGTTTTCTTTTACCATCAATATTTTTAACCATGCATATAAAAGTAAAAATTACAATTAACCACATGCATAAACATAGGAGTGAAAATTATCATAAACGTCTTACGTACGTACGTACAAGTCCATATTAATTATATAGGGATCTCGAAATATTCAGGAATCCAAAAGAAAAAAGACAAGCAGATGCATGCATGGATCATGAATGGTCCATGCATTAATTGTTTTGAAAATGATGATTAATTCCAAAAGCATATATATATGATCTAATTAATTAAGATGCGATGACGATCGACTTCATTAGTAGGGAGGGATAGTGAGACGGACGACACCAAGTTTGGCGATCATCTTGATCCGACGGACGTCATAGCCTCTAGGGACAAAGGCGACCTTGCCAATGTAATTACGTCCACTCGAGTCGTGCATGGTCTCAGGAGCTCGCCCCATGACGTTGAGAACATCGTTGCCGTCAACTGCCACCGCGAATCTGTCGTCGGGGACACCAGGCATGTCGATACGGAGATACAGACCACCGTTTGAGAGCTGCTTTGACTCGTAAGCGCTCGTGGATCCCTCCAACACTGACGGGTGTGGCAGTATCACCGGACCCGTGAACGCCGGATCTGTCCATTTATGTAACACAAAACTTTTTAAGTCTATATATTGGTTCAGTATATATAAGGCAATTGATATATATGAGGAGCATTTTAATTCATGCGTGCGGTATAACATACAATATACGTACGTACTACTTAAATTACACTATACATATATACACTAGACATTAATTATGATTATATCACAATGGAAAGATTAAGTTCATACCAAGAGGGTCAGTGCCATGGCGACCTGAACAATAAAACAATTAATGAAGTTTATAGTTAATCAACCACATTTATATTGTGTTATGAAGTTGTTTTTAGCCTTGTTAATACTATATGATAAAATATCAAATGAAATAATACCTTCCGGGTTAAGTCCACGGAGATGAGCTGCAAGATTCACAAACAAATAAAAAGTGAGGATTTTTTATAAGAAAACAAGTCAAAGAAAAAAAGAAATGGTAAAAAAGGTATAGTCAAACGAGAATGAGTACATACCGAGAGGATGGCCACCTGCGACTGCAACAATTGGAATCAAACACAAAACCATGAACAATGTCAGATATACTATACCATACTAAATAAAAACAACCATGACTCATCTCTAAAAGAAGCTCAAATGATAAGACATATCATCTCTACATCTATTAACCGGAAAATAATAGAAACAAAAAAACAAAAAAATCATTACCTTCTGGGTCATATCCACGAATAATGTTAGCTGCCAAAAAGCCATATATATACACATAACAATTAATAAAAGCCATTATGTTAAACGATGGATCATAATAATCACAAACAAGAACAAATAAGCAAAAGATTAAAGAGATAAAGAGACATTATACCAGGTAAATCAGTAGGCATCCTTGCACCTCCGACTAAAAACAATACCCCAAAACAAAAATTAACGTCAGGTTTTTGTTTTACCAAAAACAAAAGAAACAAAAAGAAACAACATTTCAAGTGTAAATGAACTTACGGGTACATAAGGTAGGAACAGGGAGATTGATCTTCTTCTTGGAAAGGATGAGTCTAACGACACCATCACCAATGAAACACTGTATGTTACTGATAACACAGCAGTCACAGATGAGTCCCGTGGCGGTTCCGTACTTGCGGGGAGAAGAGTCGTGTTTGCTCCCTTTCGGTGCTTCTCCGATCACGATAACAGCTTTCCTCGACTGTTCTAGACGGATGACCAAACTCTCTTTCGTGATTCCTGGGAAGTCAAGCCTCACGTACAGATCATGGGTCTCTTCCATGTACTTGAACTCACTAAACCCTTTTGGTCCGCTCACTTGGTACGGGTTGTTCGTTGCGTAAAACCCTTTTGCACACACACACACACACACAAAGATATAGAAAGGTATTAGTGTCGAGTACAAGATCGAAGGTTTTACTAAAGAAATGATGGAAACAGTGATCTGTGTCACTGTGTGTTTAAAGATGGATACCTCGAGGCGATTGAGGCACCGGAACGATGTGCAAGATCGGCATGGTTAAGTAAGGCGGCTGAAGATTTCGGAGTCTTTTTAGGGTTTTCTTTTTTGCTTTTTGGAGATCTCTCTCTCTCTCACACACACCTTTAGGGTTTTGGGAGGTTTAAATGAAGGCCAAGCTAAAGCAAAATGAAGCAGTGAGGGAAGAAGGGGAGAGTATGGCGGTGTCAGGTGAAAGACAACAAACTCTCCCTGTTCCAACACGTGTCTTGTTTCTATTTGTCGAAGTTTTAATGAATCATTTTTTATTTTAAATTTTGGTATCATTAATGTTTGGTTTTCAATTAAAACTAAAATTATGATACTGTACATGCATCGATTAATATGCAATAAAAATTATCGCGATTTTGAGAATCCTCCTTGAACTTTGGTCTTTGGATAAAGTAAAAAGCAAAATGTGACTAAAAATATATTTACCCTGTTTTAAAAAATTGATATTTAGGAGTTTTTACGAAAATTAAGAAACAATCATGATTATTTTTAAAAACATTATTTTCTTTCACTAAAAATTTATTATTTAATTATAAGCCAATAACAATTCAGAAATTCAAAATTTGGAATACAATGATTATTTCTTGAAATTAACAAATTGCTAATATTATTTAATTAAATATCTAGAACATCAATCTTTGTGAAACACAAAAAATTCTAAAACATCAATCTTTATGAAATAAAGAGAGTACTATCTAGAGGATAAAATTTGGGATGCGTTATAGAATTTTTTAACTTTTTGGGGTTGTCTAATGGGTTTGGCCTACTTCGTATAAGATAATTTATGTACTAATTAGCTTTTAGAAAAAGCTTGACATTGGTAATTGATAAACGTATTCGAGTATCGAAACTCCGATATAGACAGCGAGTATCATTGGTAAATCACATTTTGCTTTTTTACTTTATTTTATTTATTATTTTGGAGTTACTTAACTTTCGTAAAAACAAAATCTAACTATAAGATTTTATATTATTATAAATTCATTAAATAAATTTAATTATTTTGGTTAAATTTCGTTAAAAAGACTAGATTTTAAATTTTATATTATGGTAAATTCATTCACTAAATTAATTTAAAACAAGTTAACAACAAAAATAATCAACCAAATATATCAAAGCAGTCATTGTAAATGTAGAAGTAAACTCTAAACTATTATATTGTGTGGCAAATAAATATAATAAAAACATATTAAACAGCAAATAAATAAATAAAAATTAGCTAAGTCTATTAACATGTTAAAATTACATGCGAATATTTAAAGTGTATATATTGTACAAAGAACATATTAAAATAATATGTGAATTTTTCGTTTTGCAAGATCATTTAGCTACTTGAACAATTTATGTTCGAAAGTAATAATAGCATTAGTCATCAATCAATAGAAAAATATGTCACATTATCATTTGATCATGACCAATGTCAAGCTAGCCTTAATTAGTTTTCTAAGACTATCCTTATTGATTGCATACAATTAGCTAAGAGCAATAATAATACGAGCTGTTGCATGATTTGTAAATTATATAGAAAAGCGTGGTTACATATTAAAACCTTTACCACGCATAAGTGATTGTCAAAGACTCTAAGTCCACTTCCCATATAGCAAAATAGAGTGATATGTAATTAACAAGTCAAATAAATTGATTTGATGATGGTCACTCTCTTTCTCACTCGCTGTTCTTTTATTTGTTATACGTCGTCAAGACTATGGTATCTTAACAAACAAAACAAAATTAATATGACGACAAAAAAAAGAAAAAAAAAAGAAAACTAATATAAACACTTATAGTTGCACTATTGGCGCCTTTTTATTTATGATTACTAGCTATCAAATAAATTTTTGGTTCCTCCTCCCTAATTGCTACTAAATTCGTATAAAGCTATCTTATTTGGTGCATATTTAATACGACATTTTTATTACAATTGGTTCTCAATTATATTTTAAAAAACCGATGCTTAACCAACAAAAAAAAAAAAAAAACAAATACAACCCTTTTTTATTTAATTATATGACATACACAAAAGAATGATTTGAATATTGGAAACTCTATTGACAAACGTTGCGTACCCTTTTATTTTTACATGTGTATGTACTTGTCGAGTATAGATAGTTTCATCGACTTATTAAGGCTACTTTTCTATTTTATACTTAAACATGACTCGAACAGGCTTCAACGCATGTTAGCCCTGGTTAAGCGTATCCCATAAAGATGCGCACTTCCTTTTGGCGAACCCAACTCTTCTGTTCAACAGATCATAGACCACCTCGAACCCTTGCTGCTGATAATTCCCCAAAATAGCCCCGGTTCCACCACTAAGCTCCGATTCATCTCCACCGTTCATCAACATAAAGCATCCGATTCTCCTCTTCTTCTCTCCTTTATTACCGCCATCTCCACCGTCCGTAAACTCGTGAAAGTAATTTCTCCTAGGGAGCGTAACACTGGATCCGTTCCCGGTAAAATGCAAAACCAGAGATGGAACTTTAACCGTCTGGTTCAAATAGTAGCACGGACTCATACCCGAACTCGGTTCGATCATATCAGCCCTTTCGTGAACCCGCCCGACCCGACTATCGAATTCCTCCACCACCGCGCTGTAGAATTTCGCCGGAAGCATCGTGAACGTCGTCCCTGAGTCAACGACAACTCCTCCTCCGCCGTTTTTGTCAATTCGTCTTAGCATCGCCGGGGCAGGAATATTCCGTTTTCCGATTGAGATTCCTTGGAGTGAAACAGAGTAGAAGTAAGGATGCTTTGGGTTTTCAAGCAACTCAGTGAATATGAATTCGCTCTTCGTCTTCCTCTCATCATCATCATTGGTTCTTCCGACACGTTTCCCTTTTCCCTCGACGAAGCGGCCGAGAATTAGTGGACTCGGACGACGGACTCGTTCCGAGTCGAACGAGTGAGAGACGAGACAGTAAGAGAAGCTGTTACCGAGGTGAGGAGAGTGAACAGCGAGCTGAGCGGGAAGAGAGAGACGTCCACGGCCGAATCCAGCGACACCGATAGGTTCAGCAAGAGTGGTGTGAGCGCAGCCGAAGGTGAAGTTGGCTACGGAGACGGAAGGGAGAGAGAGTGAGTCGGAGTAGAGTTTTGCAACGAGAGAGCCGTCACCGTAAGCGTAGTAGAAAGGTGGACAAGGGTAAGAAGAAGTGTTACAATCACCGGTCTCGATAAAATCAAGAGGACAGTTGGAGATAGCGCAGAGGTCAGAGGAAGGAAGGGAAGAGTGAGCGGCGGAGCAAGAAGGGGAGGAGCAGGGGACGGTGATGGAGGAGGAAGAGAGAGGGGAAGGAGGAGAAGGAGGGAGTGGTTTGGATTCACAGAGTATGCAAGTGAAAGGACGACAAGGGAACCAGACAAGGTCACTTCCGGTGTCTAAGTAGAGAGAGACGGGTGATGAGGAGGAGGAGCCGACAGAGAGGGAGATGAGGTAATCGCTTCCGGAGGAGATGGGGAGAGGAAGTTGTTGTTTTTGGTGGTGTTTGTGGTGGTGGCGGCGGAAGCGGGCGGAGGAACGAGAGGAGGATGATTTGAGGAGGTTGATAGGAGAGGAAGAGTGTTTTGAGGTTGAAAGAGAGTGAGAGAGATGGAGGAGAAGAGGTGTTGATGATGAAACAGAGAAGTAGAGACAGTTATTCAGAATAGTTGAGTAGAGGAAGAAGAAGATCAAACAAGTTTTCATGGCTGATGAAACAGTGTGGAGTACAAGGAAACTGGTTTTGAATTTGAAGCAGAGGAGGTCGGTCATGTCTTTTTATAGGACAAAAGCAAAAGACAATTAAGAAGATGATTAAAAATTTACAAATTTTTTGGCTGTCATTATCAGCAAAAACTAGATATTTATATTACATGTTTTTGAAAAGAAGATATTTATATAATTAAATTTTGCAATGAATACAAGAAAGTCGTAGTGTATGATGAAAAGAGTGGCATGCAGAGTTTATAATCATAGGGTTAAGATTTAGACAGGAAACTAACCAACCAATAATCGAAATACAACTAAACCAAAACAGCAGTCGGTATGGTAAAAAGGTTGCACACAGTAATCTTAAACTCGTTTGTCTGTGTCTGGCTACTCTTCTGTCTTTGATGATTTTGGAAGAAGAAGTCAACTGCATTGTTCATTGATGAGATGGGGGACTTTGCATGCAACCATACATTGCTACATTAATTATACCCTACGTTTGTTTTTTCTTCTTCTCATATTTAAGGTTCAAAGTTCAACCATATAATTGGCCATAACATATCCAATCCACACCCTCGGATCAAAGCCTTTGAAGCCTTGAGACGCTAAAAAAAAACTAGTAACATAATAATTTCGTGATAATATTTGTTAGAAAATAAGGAAAAAAAAAAAGCGTTGAAAGCCACATAGACAAGCCAGGTGGAAGACTGCCAATGCCATGGACAGGGTTAAAGAGAAGAGAAAGGTACGTGTACTTCACTCTTTACCACACACAGCTTCATTTCTATTCTCCTTCTTCGGTCCACCTTCTGCTTTTTGTTTTGCTATACTAATACGAAATCCCTTCTTTCTAATCTAATGAAATTAAAGAAGAAAATTAAATTACTAATAGAAGATATAAAGTTTTAACCAGTTAATCAAACATCTACTCGAACTGATCCAAACACCTTAGCCAATTTGCTAGACCGCTGGTTGATTAATCTATTTTTAAGCATTGTTTATCCCAATAAAGTATATTTGGATAACACCTACCATTGTTAAAAACTCCATAATCAAAAACTAATCAATCACTATGAGAAATTTAGTTATAAAATATTGGATAAGAATCAAAAGACAGAGAATCGCTAGAGGACAAAATGAGAGAACAAGGGACATATATAATTATATATATAAATATTCACCAACCTCCTCCAGTACGAGCCGATACTTTATATATATTTTAAAATACGAAAAAGTAATTTACAGGATAAGTTTTGCTAAAGAGGAACGCAATGAAAAAAATTTGGAACATAAAAAAATTAAAAGTACTTGCCTTTATTTATACTGAAAAAGTAATTCGAAACTTTGAAAAACGAAACGAAACCGCGTCAATACGATGGTTTTGGATATTGGGATTCGTCAGCTCTTAATTTAAGATAGCATGGATTCTTTTCGAAAACTCAAAATACTTTTAATATCCTACATTTTGGATACAGCTGTTAACAGAGAGGCTATTCCTAAAAATTATGTAAGAAAACAATTAAAAATACATATAGCTGTACTCGAAAATACAAAACTAAAAACGAGACCAATGAAGCAAAAGCAAACCTGAGGGTTGAGACTTGAGAGTGACGTTATTGCAGTTTTTTGTAACTTTTAGCTCTTCGTCGTCACTCCAAGCAGAAAAAGGCTCAAGCCTGTCTTCTTCGTCAGAGCTGTTTCCCTCACAAGCGCCAGCTTTGGCTTTCTTTTGTCACCACCATAAACACAAAAGTTCATCATAGGTTTTGTTGTAATTAAAAAAGCTACTCGATACATGAGACTACCACTTATTTCCATAATTGTCTATACTACTTATTTCCATAAACGGCATACACTCCAAGTGGGTTAATTTGCGGATATGATCCTATAAACTACTGGAATCAGCAGATGTATCATAATACAAGTCACACAATTGTAACAAAACTATGAGACATAGGGGGGAATATTAACATATTGAGAGATCTAATAAGAGTTGTATTACCAACCGGACAAGAAGACGAACTCACCAACCTCTCCCTCTATAAATCATTGCCAATCAATCAAACAACCTGATATTTTATTGTCAATATTATCTGCTTTAGAAGTGCATGATCACCTGCAACTTTGTTCAAAAGGCAACAAAATATAAGGACAGGACCTGTCCAATTAAAATATCAGGAAAGGAAGAAGCTTTGTTGATGTGTTTATGTCGTATACACAAGTTATTAACTAAAAAACAGCGTAGGAACCAAACAAAGAGTTGGTATTTGACAGGGGTGGTTGAGGATTACAAGTAAATCCTTCCAAAAAAAACTTATAATCTGTGGGCCTAAATTCTTCAAGACAATGGCAAATCAAGAATTTCAATTATTACAGAAGTTTCGTACTCATCTAGGACATATCACTATTACGAAGCTTTGTTGGTTTGTTAGCTCCAATTCTTGAGTTCTAGTGGTTCATATCAAAACAACACCAGAATGTTATACCATATCAAATCATTTCTTTTTTTTTTATTTGTTCTCAGAAACAACAAAAAAAAACTTTATCTTAGAAATAGTAGTCCTGTAGACAAAACATCAATCAAAGAAGCTAAAGGGTAAAGGCATTGAACCTTCAAACTGTACTTCTATCTAACTGCGCAAGTTGCATGTGAACAGAGAAGATTTGATCTCGCTGAAATCTAACACTTAGATAAGCTCAAGTGGTGAACAAAAAGAAAAGAAAAGATAAGCTCAAGTTTCTAGTGATAATATCAAAGTCTAATCTGCGCTATTGATACCTATGGATCCACTTGAAAGGGATAACAAGCATTCTGAACAGCCTGAGTATAGACGATATTTTAAAACTTGAATGCTATAGGTTCTCGCTCTCTATTGTTCCCATGCCACAGTGCTTAATACCTCCTAAGATTTGTTACATGACTTAATATTTCGACCTCACAGAAAGGTCACAAATGTACAAGTTTATTCAAGACGTAGTTACCTGTTCTGTGGATAACTATGCTGTTGCAAGAATACAACTGCCTCAGTTAAGCTGCAGTATGTCTCATGCACTGCAACCAGTACTTCCCCTACATTTAGAGATATCAGAGCATCAAAGCAACACAAGAAGGCCCACATATATCAGAGATCCTGTATGGAATTAAGGGGTCTAAGTCAAATCTTATGGCAGTTACTCCGGAGATTATATCAGAATTCTTCATGTATACGTCTAAGTATGGAAACAATGAGATTGCTGTCACTGCCTACAACTATTGAACAGCGCCAGAAATTACATATAGTTACTTGTCACATTCTTCTTTCATATACAAAATCCTTAGTAATATTTGGCATTTCATAACAAATTTGCCAGTAAAAGTAATAGAAAAGAGATATTGCACAATTTTAGCGAAGAGAATCAACGCAATACAGTTAGGTAAGTCGGTTCAGTTACACTTTTGAAAGAAGAGGCTTTATCTTCTCCAGCAGTGTCTCTGCTTCAATAAATCCACCCAAAGGTCCCAAAGACTTGTACTTGATGGCTTTCCATCTGTTTTAATGTCAACATTTTATAAGAAAGCTTATTCGCAGTTACAAGCCATGGAAAGTAAGAGAGATAGATGCAAAGAATTTCCCAAGAAAGATCAACGAATATGAAGCATATCCGTACCTGGGAACAAAAGGCAATGCAAAACAATGGAGATGGAGATGATCAACACTGTTAAAAGGTGGCTGGTGAAAACCAAATCTGAGAGAAAATACTAATCAGGTTAGTGCTGTATAAGTTACCACAAGACGAAGAAACATATCAAGCAATTAGTGAGGATATTTTGTTTCGACTTTCGAGCATTACAACTATAGTCGGTTTGAAAAGCCTAACTCCAAATCCCTAATTGGTTTTGATATAGCGTTTATAACCAAGAAGTCTCACCTATGAGTACTTTGAGGTGCATCTTTCTGCAACAGTTCTTGTCCCACACTAAGCATGTGTCTTACTGCTCAAATCACAAACAAACATCCTTATCGAAACTTTAAACATAGATATTAACAGGAAAGGATGTATAATATGTTTAGCTAACCAACCTAATGAGTAGTCTTCATCTCTTCTCTGAAGGTCATTCACAGTAGGAATGTGTTCTTTTGGAATTACCAGGTAATGCCTACATCATTGTTTGCTTCTTATTAGTAAAATGCAAGTGATCACATTAGATAAAGCTAAGTAAATGGAATCAAACTAAAATTCACAAGAAACTAACAACCTATTAGGATAGCAATATATGTCAATATATTTTACCTATATTTGGGTTTATCGCAAATAGAAAACTGGGCTATGTATAAATACTTCTTTACATTGTCAATAATACACACGAGTTTATACACACAACCACACTAAATTCACATCGATGACACCGAGGAGAATCTAATTAAAATCGATAGAACCGAAGCGAGTGAACAAGGCACAAACCTCTGAGCGGATGGTTTAATGTCTTGAAACGCGATGACCTTCTCATCCTGGAAACAACCATCGGAAAATATTAAGTAAGAAATCGTTTCAAATTAGCCTATGCTCTTTGATTCTGTGCTTGCGACTCAAACAACAGAGAGTTGAAGAACGATGAAGGGAAGATAGAACATAACGGTGTGAAGAAGACGAGTGGAGCTGGGATTGCGCACGATCTGACAGAAGATACACGCTTGATTCGCTCCTCCCGCCATTTCTTCTCCCTGATTCTTTACGTTTGGGAATTTTGAAATCGCAGCTCCAACAAATTCGAAAACTGGGATTTCGATTTCAAAGTTGGGATATGGCCAATGGGAAAGTTGTCCCGGAACTGAAAAATTTGTGCGACTGCTTTCCATTTTAACCCCAAAACTATTTTTATTAAATATTTGACCCATAAATCCCTGTAACTTCCAAATATTGGGGGTTTCAATTGAAATAAACAGAATATATCGAGGACTTAAATCAACAAAAAAACATAAACAAAGGCCGGAAATGTTCTTCCCACTACGACGGTTAAACGGCGACTAAAAAAACCTTAAGAGCTCCTCCGTTAATGTCGTCTCTGTCATCTCTACTTCCCAAAACATTCATACCCTTTCGCTCCTTCCGTTTATATTCACTGACCCGTCCAAGAAGCTCCGTCGCTGCTCGAACCATGAGCTCTGATTCTAGTCAACGCGTATTCCAGCTCAGACAAGACCCACTCACCGGAAATTCCGAGTGGGTTGTCATCGAAGACAATGGCCATCTCGGAACTTACACGGACGGCCTCCTCGCCACGACTTCGTATCTCGACATGCTTAATGATACTCGCCGCAACAGAGCTTATCGTCTCGCTATCGAGAAAACCATTACTGAGCCTTGCCACGTCCTTGACATTGGGTTCTTCTAATTTCCATTATTCAAATTACTGTTTCAAAACCACTTAGATTGAACTTATTTTGACATGGAGAATGTGGAATTTGTGTGTGTTATATAGTGCTGGAACTGGGTTGCTATCGATGATGGCTGCGAGAGCAATGGGAGAGTCTGGTGATTCAAAAGGAATGGTGACGGCGTGTGAGTCCTACTTGCCCATGGTTAAGCTTATGAGGAAGGTTTTGCATAAGAATGGGATGACGAAGAACATTAACCTTATCAACAAACGATCCGATGAGCTCAAAGTTGGATCAGACATTGCTTCACGAGCTGACGTTCTTGTGAGTATTCAAATATCCATCCTTTTTAGTGTCAATTTGAGTGGAAATAAGTTACTTCAATGCTACTGTTACTCTTTCATTAGGTAAGTGAAATATTGGACTCTGAGTTACTTGGTGAAGGTCTAATCCCAAGTTTACAACATGCTCATGACATGTTGCTTGTTGAAAATCCAAAAACTGTGCCATACCGAGCTACTACTTATTGCCAGGTTCGTTGCTTGATCTATCATGAGCTACTTTCCTTGAGTTTTATCGAATTTTTGGTTTGTCTTCATTGTTCATCTTGAGTGCCTGATTGAATCTATTCTCAAATTGTTTCTCTTTTTCTTCTTTTTCTGTACATTGTGAAGCTTGTTGAAAGCGAGTTCTTATGTAGCATGCACAATCTAAAAAATAACGAGGCTAATACATCCGATGGTGTTCGTCTAGTTCCTCCTGGCTTAGAGAGTCTATTTGGTATCAAGTCACAACAGTATAGCATGTATGTCGATGCTATTGAGAAAGAAATCAAACTGGTACAACTATCCTAAACTTTCCCCTGCGCCTTTTGCAATAAGCTTTTTAATTTATACACTCAGTTCGTATATTCATCCAGTTGTCAGACCCCGTCAAAATATTTGAATTTGACTTTTGGAAACGGCCAGAAAGTAGTGGAGAGCTTGATGTGCACATAGAAGCAACAACCGCGGGTAGTGTTCATGCTATAATTTCATGGTAATATGTCCTTTACTGTCTTTCTTCTTTTCCTTTTTGGGCGTTTGAACTGCATATATCCTCGCAATACTGGTGTAGTTAGCCATCTACAATGAAAAAATACACTTTTCCTTTTTGGTGATGTATATATATGCTAAGAAGCCTAGGAAAGTGCTCAAGATCTGTCCTGTTTTCCTAGTATGCTATGAGGAATCTTCTTTTTTTTTTCTTTTTTTTTTTTCTGCTTCAGGTGGGTGCTGCAGCTTGACTGTGAAGGAACAATCTTCTACTCTACTGCTCCGAGATGGATAGATTCAAGTCCTGATATAGGTGAATTACACCTTCCTGTGGAATTTATTTGCAGTTACTGGTTGTTAAGGAATCCCTTTTTTTCTCCCCAGGCTTGCACTACATTCAGCTCCATTGGGATCCAAGATGTACTTGATCTCATTTTTACCAATTCTGATTTCGTTTCTTACTAATTCAGGCGTCAGGGAATGGTGTGACCATTGGAAACAGTGTGTTTGGTTTACTCCAGGAGCAGGTGTGTCCTTATCCAAAGGAGAAAAAGTTGATTTGCATGCTGCTCATACTTGTACTAACATCTTGTACAATCTGAAGAAGACTCAAAGCTTGACACATGAGATGCCACACTCTCCTTTGAGTACTGGTGATCTACACCTCACATTACCACCCGAAAGAGTCGCAATATATGGTGACTGTAGATACAGGCAACCCATGTTTGAGGCCACTAGAAACGCTGTAGGTTCTAAACTTCTTTGTCTGTCTTAAGTTTACAAGTATATCCGTGAAAATTTCATAAGGTTGTGGTAATATTTTGGCTTGTTGATGCTAATAAGGAACACTACTCCAATCCATTTAAAATAAATTTATTCATATAGCTATACTATTTTTCTCAGACATTCCAGTGCATTCTTAAATGGTTCTTCATTTCTTTTCCAGTTACAGGGAAAGTCCAATCCACAATGTCTCGTAATTGATGATAGTATTCTTTTACCACTTATGGCTCTACATACCTCCAACAACTCACGGGTAATATCACTGTCACCTGGGCTGCAAGAGAATGCTGCCAGATACTTTGAAGCCATTGCGGGTTCAAATGGTTTTTCAAAAGATCGTTTTGAATATTTCAGAGATGGGAAGTCAAAGTTGGTCGAAGCTTATCCGAGCAAGGTAATCTTTCAGAAGATGCACATCACATTCAGAATTCATAAAAAGTTATGGCTTGTTGCTCCACTCTTGAGAAGTTTTGTCCCCTTAGTTTGTCCTTTTATTTAGTCATCCAATTTCCTGACTGATTTTGGGTTCTATTTTGATTAAGTGTCCTATGTTTATCAACAGATTGATCTGCTGATTGGAGAGCCATATTTCTACGGACATGAAAGTGTGCTTCCGTGGCAGAACCTTAGATTCTGGTAACTGTTGCAATTGAGTTGGTCATTTAGCTTTGTCAAAGACGCTAGTTTGTTAACGATAGTCTGATTCTCTTTCTGGTATGTGTGAAGGAAGGACAGAACTCTAGTTGATTCTGTCCTGTCAGAAGATGCAGTAATAATGCCGTATAAAGGAGTTTTGAGAGGTTGTGCTATGTATCTTCCTGTAAGTACTGTATCGTGTCTTAGCAATCATAAATCGGAGAATGTTTGCTTGTACATTCATGAATTGCCTTCTGGTGCAGGATCTTTGGAAGAGCCGCTGTTGCCTTGGCAGTGTAGAAGGGTTTGACCATGCTCTGGTGAATACAACCTTAGGGGGGTGTGGTGATCGTCCTTCTGAAAAAGACTGTCCTTGTTTGCCCTTTTTTATCTGGCAATGTGGAGAGACAAAGGTAAACACAAGTTCTTATATATATGTATCGGCAAACGTTGGGAAAAGTAAAGATTGTTCCTTTGCTTGGAAAATTTTCAGAAACTTAGCAAGGAATTTACAGTCATGGAGTTTGACTTCACCAAGCCCATCACAGGTCCATGTTCTGGGGAAGTTCAGGTATATTTGTTGGAAACTCACATACATGCAGTTTGCAGAGGCATCATAAGTACAGATAATTTGGATCAATGATTTTAAGAAATGCTTTTCTTCTGCAAACAGATCGAGTTTATAGAACCTGGTATATGCCATGGAATCGTATTGTGGATGGATTGGGTGATGGATGAAGAAAACTCAACCGTGATCTCAACAGGACCAGGTACAATACTCATAACTCTTTGCAGTATCCAATACTTTTTTGCTGTAAAGGGATCAAAATAGTTGTTGTCTAATCACTAATGGCAGTTGCTGATGGATTGTTCTATAATGGGTTTTAGCAAAGGATTGGCTTTTTCAACATGTTAGTTTTAGGGATTGCATGATATATAAAACAAACAATTAGCAGTCGTGTTTTAGTCCACACCTTATGAGGATAAAGCAAACGTTTTGATGAAATTTTCTGCGTACAGATGAAAGGTATTGGAAGCAAGGAGTGAAGTTATTAGGGAAGCCAGTCACAGTGGGAATGAAAGGTCCATCCTCATCCATAGGAATCCAAGCTTCCTTAGATTTGTCTTCAAATAGCGAGCTCATCATCACTCATACTATTTCTTGACTCTTTTTTTGTTTGTCAAGACCATTTTCAATTTATATGTCTTAATTGGGCACCTCCAATCGTGTTGGAGTCTTTTTTTTGGGCCTAATTCAATGGTTAGAAAGTAGAAACTTCAGTAAATTTGATTTTGTGATGTGCAAGTAGATCCTTCTTCATTGATTGATAGTTATGAATTATTGTTCAGTGACTGACTACTGGCCTTATAGTTACTGAGCCTATATTTCCAGATATTTCTGTGAAACCCATTCGATATTCTCCTAGGATTTGAGATAGTTTCATCCTGACATTTTTCGAAGAATCACATATGAGCATAAGAATACAAATCATATTAACAATGTAGACATCAAATAAAAAGAAACTGAAGGAGTATTTTTTAAATAAAGTACAGTAGTAAACTGTTTGCTTGATTCCTATTTACTCCAACTCCATCGTAAGAAAAAAAGTTTATATTTGTTTTGTTATTTTTTTCTTTCTCACAACAAAATGTTGAGACCTACGCTTGACTATAAGATGGGAGAAAGTTAGAAACTTTAGTAAATTTGATTTTGCTATGCACATGTACATCCTCTATTGATTGTTATAGTTGCAGTAATGTACATAACACATTTTATTTGAACAGCACAAAATCATAATTGAAGTTAAAGTTTGAAAAGTAGTGACAAAAACTCCACTGGCTTTTACCGTGGGCGTGTTAAACAGATTGAGTGAGTCCGTGGGTGTGAATTAAGGACTAATCCAACTCAAGTCATCTTTCTCTTTTATTTACATATATAGAAAAAAATCAAATATAATCAGAGGAGAATGCTCACAAACCACCACCATCAAACAAAACAAGAGAGGTCTCTGCATAACACAAACCTTAAAACTCAATACATCACACATCTCTAATTGTCTCTTCATCAACGTTTTCCTTCTTCTTTAGAAGCCGCCACATAAGAGACAACAACTGTAATGTCATCAAGCTTACCTCCGTAGTATCTGAAGCCAGCATCTTGTGCTGCTGTCGAAAATGGAGTTTGTCTGTTCTTGTCCTGTGCTCTTTGTCGTGCCAATGCTGCAATCTTCTGTGCTGTTACCTGAGGATCTATGTTGGCTCTCACAGCATGAACCACTATGGCTGTGATCTCGTTGTTGTACAGGTTGTCGAACAATCCATCTGTTCCAGCTATTATGACGTCTCCTGGAGCGACAGCAACAGTAAAAACCTGACCTGAGCTTGGCAAATCACCATTTCTTCCACTCTCCAGCTGATATGTGAAGTTGAAGTCATGTTGTTGAACAGGGGAGCGGAAAACCGTGTGCCCTTCACGGACTACCATGAAGCCGCTGTCGCCTAAGTTGATTGCATTGAGTCCCTGGTTGGTTAAGGCTATGATGCAGGCCGTTGAAGACCCTAGAGACTTTGTGCTAGTGTGAGCTTTTTCCAATACCCTGGCTGGATCAATCGATCCTTTCGGCTCATCCTGGATTGCATTCACTGAGTTAGACATAAGCTCCCGAGAGTAGTAACCTGCATCAATACCGAGCTCTGCCCAGCCTCCCACACCATCTGCCACACCCAATGCTTGCTCCTCTGAACAGATAAAGTGTGCATCCTCTCCCCCAGTTGCCTCTTTATCAGGATGTGGTAGATAACACGACCCCGAGACAAGCTTCAGAGGCTTAGTACATAGCTTAGCCGCTACAGAATCCGAAGAATCTCTAACCTCTTCCTCGGTGACAGAGTTATCAAGAGAGACATCAGGCGCATTCCCAGCTGATAAGCGATTAGACAGTGAGCTATGCAAGCCTCTAGATCCCCATCCTCTTCTTTGGTGATTCATATATATCCATCTCTTGGCACCTCTATAAGCAAAATACGCATAAATTGTAGACTTATCCGGGTGATCTTTTCCTCTAAGTCTCATACTGATTCTACCACGGTTGAGAACATCTCCACATACCATACCACCAGCAATTCGCTTAGAAACAAGAGGATCAAAATGACGATCCACAAACAAGGATTTGGAACCTAAACTAACCATTGATATAGCCGGAGCCTTGACACAGGCCGCACTAGGTTCCGAAAGCAAAAGATCAATGTGATACCCACAGACCTGAAAGGCTGGACCAGATACTGAAGGAACAGAGAGAGTCCGAGAAACAGCACCAACGACAGAAAGATTCCTCCTTTCGTTAACCAAAAGCAAATCAGAGCTCGCAGGTTCTAAAAACCCGTTAGGGTTAGTAAACCTAGAGTGCAATCCCCTATAACCCCCAAACCCTAAATTCCCTAATCCAATCAAAACCTTAACTTGTTTCTGAAGACCTTCTCTCACAGTTAACATCTTAAGTAGAATCTCGAAACCCAGTAATAACCAGAGATAGAGATGATCATATCTTCCAAAGCATCACTTTTTTTCTCCACGAACGATCTTAAGAACCCCCTCGAATATTATGGTGAACCTAACATCAAATACGGATTGATCGAAGACAGACCCACACAAACGCAGAGCTTCAATCAAAAAAAGACGAATTCGGAACTTACCAAGAACAAAATCTTCTCTTTCCACAAACCCTTCAGAGCAGATAATGTGAAGATAATAAGGGGGAAAAATTAAATGATGAAAACAGAAATTGGCTAGAATCCAGGAACGAACAGATTCAAATTGCACGAAAGAACCCTAGCCAAATCTGATCTTTAAGACAGAACACAAAAAGGAAGCTGGTGGTCAAAAGCAACTCGCTCTTATTTTTTCCTTTGTTCTAAAAAAAACAAACCAGTAAAAATTAGGGATGTCTCAAATCTTCTTTTTCTCTTTTCTGTGTATGACAGAGTTTATGTACGCGTGGTGGGCACAGAGATGATCAGACTGTTCCTCTCACATATTTTTGGATCGGAAGTCGTTCTCAGCCGTTGGATCGTTGATTTGGCAATTATATTATTTATTTTATTTATTTTGTAAACGGCAATTACTATATTATTTAATATAAGAAAATAACGAGAAAACCGAGTCGTCGATTACTGGGCTTATTAAAGCCCATTAGAGTATCAATCAAAGCCCATGTGACCGGGTCAGATGATAAAGCATTTTGTTCCTAAAGTTAGATAAATTTAGAGCAATCAAAGTTTATCTGAAATTTAAGTATTATTGTGATATTTAGCATAAACTGTATAAGTTAACGTACGAATTACTGTAAATGGTTTAAACATGATCAATTTTAGTTAAAAATTTGTTGTTTCACTTAAAAAACTATATATATATATATATATATATATATAAAAAGAGAAAATATAATTGGCTTTTGTACAAGTTTCCTTTATAAGAAAGGGTTTAATTTTATGTCTTCTGTACTTTGAGTTCAAAAACAAGGGAGACGACATGATTGCACATAAACATTGGGAGTATTATCAAAAATGTTCAAATTTTACAGGACACTTCGAAAAATTCAATGGGTCCATATGCATATGTCTCTCCTCTTCTATTAGGTGCATCCATCCAACTTCTCAAGTCATAATCACATCATTTAACGAATAAACTTATATTTAACCAATTTGTAAAACAGAATTCTCACAAAACACCTATTCTAATATATTTTTATGTACGTGTATGGACATTGGTTTATGGATTCGAGTTGGTGTGTTCTACATCATTGATAAATTTTATTTAATTATTTACGTACTTAAATTTTTGTAACATTGATAAATTTAACTTCAACTTTTGCTGTCAAAATATCAATTACTAAAAATACAGGGGGCAAGGCAATTGAGAAGCACATGGGATGAAAAAGGTACAAAAAAAAGTGAAACGATTCTTCTATCTCTCTAAATTGAAAAGGTACAAAAAAAAAAGAAATCAAGAATTAATAAATAAAAATAAACATGCATAACCAAGCAGTAATTAATGATCTAGTTGTAAATGTGATTATGTGAAGTGAAGCATGCATGCATGGCCTGATCAATTGGGAGACTATTTAGCGCATCCCTTCCTCTATATATAAGAGCTAATTTGGCAATCAAAGTATCAAACCATATACTGTATACTATTTTTTTTTAAAAATCAACCATATATACAAATGCTAATCATCAATTCACTTGTTAACAAACTGATAAGAAATTGTAATACGACCAGCCAACCGTCGTACTCGAGCTTCAGTACAATACATAATCCAACTAAACTGGTAAATAATAATAAAATGTAGAGTGATATAATATATGCACGAATCACGTGGAAAATTCTAAACAAATATTTTGTTGCGTTCCCTTCTGTGGATAGCAAGCAGCTTAATTAGAGAAGCTGCGATAATGTTTAACGCCTAGCTTCTTCGTCCACTGAAATTACAATGTGATGGGAAAAAAATGAATGAAAAATAAGAAAGTTGGAGTACCGTAACAGTATTGCGTGATGGACATATTTGAGAAAAGAGACAAAACCAGTCAATAGTGAAAATGCAACACAATTAAAATTAAAAGATGTCGATAAATAGGGTCATTTTGTGACAAGAAAGAAAAGTAAATTAAGTCCATCATCACTTCTTCTAGCTCCTCTCTCGAGCTTCAGTTGTAGAGCAACTATGTCTCTATCTCTGAAGCCTTTCCTCTTTTTATACGACACCACTCTTAGTCTCCTCTTACTTCTGGTAGCTCTCTCTTCATATGTATATACTAATGTAGATTGTTGCACATTAACTAACTAATAGTTTATATATATCTTGTGTATTATGAATTAGCTTAATGGAGGGAGTCTAGAAGATGCAGCAGTGGCACAACAGAGGCTTGAAGCAGACAATAATGCAGGACAGTCGTCTGAATGGTTCGAAATTCAATATTTGTGGATAAAAACAAGGAGTGTTGTACTACTTCCCGTTTTCAAGTGTTTGGTGGTTATGTGTTTGGTATTATCCATCATAGTGTTCTTCGAGAGTCTTTACATGAACTTCGTCATACTCTTCGTCAAGTTATTTAGACGTAAACCCGAGAAAGTATACAAATGGGAGGCCATGCTAGAAGATGTCGAGGTTGGACCCGATAACTACCCTATAGTTCTTATCCAAATACCAATGTTTAATGAAAAAGAGGTACTGTATACAAATGTATATAATACCGTTGTTACTTAAACTCTTGCTGTATATATAATGTGAACTATGAAATATTGATACCTTATGGCTCGTTTGTATAGGTCTATCAATTATCTATAGCGGCAGTATGCAGTTTGGTCTGGCCATCGAGCCGTCTAGTAGTTCAAGTTGTGGATGATTCTACGGATCCAGCCGTAAGGGTGAGTAGCTTTTTAGAGACATAAATAATTGGAAAAAAGATGGCTGGCTACACCAACTATAGAGGAATGCATGGTCACACATGTTAAGTATCATATTGTACACGCAGCTACACGAACTAGATGTATGTATTGCATGGCCACATGCATCAACTATACAACGTCATGTAGTCAACACCATAGACATAAAATTATGGTACACCGGTCAACTGATTCTGGCGTTGACCGGTGTTGACTCCGGCGTTGACCGTTTTTGACTAAAAAAAAATTCAAAATTTTTCTTTATATAATCTTATTTATAGTGTTAAAAAGACTAAAAATTATAATTATTTTATAATGAATTGTTATGGTTTTGTATACTTTAAAAAATTATAATCTTAGGAAAAAAATTGTAACAATGATTTTTGTATTTAAGTAAATCACATAATAAGTTAATGGTTTTGATTGACAATGTGAAAATAAGCAATTCTCTTACTAATTCATAAGATTTTTCGAGTTTCAGTTTAGATTATAATATCTTGAATCATTTTACTATTAATTTAGCTATAAATTTTTAAAATAACTAATTATAATAAGAATAAAAACATTAAATATATAAACAAAACTAGTGTTTAGATATTGAATATGTATAAAAAATAGTTTTTTAATTAAATTGTTTATGGTTTTGTATAATGAAAAATATATAATCTTAGGAAGAAAATTGCTATGATGATTTTGTATTTAAATAAATCAAATAATAAGTTAATGTTTTTATTAACAATATAAAAATACTAATTCCCTTAGTAATTCACATAATTTTCTACTTTTAATTTTAGTATCTTGAATTAAAAAAATTCAAAATAATTATTGTTTTTAGTTTTCTAACAGTATAAATAAAATTATATAAAAAAAATTTGGAATATTTTTTTTTGGTAAAAAAACGGTCAACGCCGGAGTCAACACCGGTCAACGCTAGAATCAATTGACTGGTGTACCAGAATTTTATGTCTATGATGTTGACTACATGACGTTGTATATTTGATGCATGTGGCCATGCAATACATATAGTTCGTGTAGCTGAGTGTACAATATGATATTTGGCATGTGTGACCATGCATTCCTCTATAGCTGGTGTAGCCAGCCATCTTTTTTCCTAAATAATTATATAAGAACTACGGATCCGTCTAATAGTTCTTATTATATATATAGATGTTAAAAAGAAAAAAAATAGAAATTCATTCAACACAATTCAAATGTGTCGATTTTGGCAAAATAGATATAGAATTGGTCAATAGAAGTCAATTTTGTAAAAAAAAAAAAAAATAAGTGTACCTTAGTTATGTGAATTTACATAATAATTTATTGATTAAATAAGATAATACGAAAATCGTCGCTTTTTCCCGTTTGCATTACGTACATATATTTGGATGCATATATTGTATAGTATGAAAAATTTGAAAGAGAGCAGGAAGGTGTGGACGTAGAAATTGCAAAATGGCAAAGCCAAGGAATAAACATAAGGTGTGAAAGGAGAGATAACCGGAACGGTTACAAAGCCGGAGCTATGAAAGAAGCTCTTACGCAAACCTACGTCAAGCAATGCGACTTTGTGGCTGTCTTCGATGCCGATTTCCAACCGGAGCCCGATTACCTCACCCGAACCATCCCTTTTCTCGTCCACAACCCTGAGGTTGCTCTAATTCAAGCCCGATGGATCTTTGGTATTAATATGCTTACAAATTAACACTTGTATTATGAATTCATATATAGTTTTAACTGCTTCTGATATATCCACGCAGTTGTGAAGATCTTAAGGCTTTTTAATATTAATGAACGGCGCTTTTCCTTGCAGTGAACGCGGACAAATGCTTGATGACGAGGATGCAAGAGATGTCCCTAAACTACCATTTTAAGGTCGAACAAGAATCAGGGTCTACTAGACATGCTTTCTTTGGGTTCAATGGTATGATTTAACCTCTAAACATATCATACGAATTAATCAATCACATATAAGGGTCACGAGACACTAGGCTACTGATTATAAACCTTCTTAAGGATCACCATCATAATCTTAGGGAGAGTAGGAACCTCAAGTTAATAAGGAAATGAGAAAGTATGCAAAGATGAATATTTGTCACTCTCACTTACTATTAATGTGCGGTTATAATTTGAGACCATAAGATTTCATTTTTAGACCCGTTAGAAATTGACACCTTGTGAGCGACTAAGATTTTGGAAGTTGGGACTATAAACAAATATATTAATAAAAATTTAGGAACCGCGGGTGTATGGAGAATATCGGCACTAGAAGCAGCAGGAGGATGGAAATCAAGGACCACCGTCGAAGACATGGACTTAGCTGTTCGTGTTGGTCTTCACGGCTGGAAATTTGTATACCTTAACGACCTCACGGTATATTACACACGTTTCTTTTTATATAAGAGAAAGTTAGTTATAATTCTACTCCAAAACCATGCAAAGCCACAAGAGTAAAAAAATACATTAGTCACCTTTTGCTATCACAAAATAAATGGTTAATTTGGAGGTTTGCAGGTGAGAAACGAGCTTCCAAGCAAATTCAAGGCCTACAGATTCCAACAACATAGGTGGTCCTGTGGCCCGGCGAATCTGTTTAGAAAAATGACAATGGAGATCATTCACAATAAGGTCCTTTTTTGTTACTTTGTTTCGTTCGGACGGACCCCTTGTGTCAGTGACTTACTGGTCCTGTGTGTTTTGTCTCTAGATGAAATAGGACCCCTGATAGTGATAAGCAGGGTGTCTTGTTTGGACTAGTAGGGTCAATCTAGAAACATACGTTTCGGTTACTCATTGATTGGTTAAAGTGTGATATGTACGGTGTTGTCCTATATTAATCATTTAGGCTAATTAATTAGGGTGTACTACGGTTTAGATCGAACCCCTCGGTTTACTATTGAGTCTTGAGTTACTTGGTTTTGTCAGTTTAGAACATGATCTAGCAATTAATTGACAGCAAACGTTTATTTTAATTTGGAACAGAGAGTATCAATATGGAAGAAGTTCTACGTGATCTACAGTTTTTTCTTCGTAAGGAAAGTGGCAGTACACTTCTTGACATTCTTCTTCTACTGTGTTATTGTGCCAACAAGTGTCTTCTTCCCTGAGATCTACATCCCATCTTGGTCTACCATTTACGTTCCCTCTTTGATCACTATCTTCCACACCATGGCTACTCCAAGGTACCAATTACTTTAATCAGTCATCATCAAGAATTAATCAAGATTACTCTGTCTTCCAATTTCATATTTTATGCATGTATATATTTGAATCATCGCCTAGATCGTTCTACCTCGTGATATTCTGGATCTTGTTCGAGAATGTAATGGCTATGCATCGAACCAAAGGAACTTGCATTGGCCTACTTGAAGGAGGAAGAGTGAACGAATGGGTTGTGACTGAGAAGTTAGGAGATGCTTTGAAGAATAAGTTACTCTCTCGTGTCGTTCAAAGAAAATCTTGTTATCAAACGTGAGTGAAAACATATACTATTTTTTCCAAAATTTTTTTTGGATTAGTTACCAATTATACGCTACACAATTTTCACCCATAATTAAATAATTAACAAAATTGAGACTTGAACTCGTGATGATCTTGATACATTAAAGGTAAAACTATAGATATTTAGACAATATAATGGCTTTTTGTTAGAAGTGATGTTTTCAACAAATACACATATATATGCATAACAAAAAGAAGTAAAATGTGTAAATTTGTTGCAGGATTAACGCAAAGGAAGTGATGGTGGGGATATACATATTAGGATGTGCATTATATGGACTGATCTATGGCCACACATGGTTACATTTCTATCTATTTCTTCAGGCCACTGCCTTCTTCGTCTCCGGTTTTGGTTTTGTCGGAACCTAATTACACGAACCTTCCCCCACCATTATATCACTTAATAACCACATCAATATATTTCTCCATGTTTTATTTATTTATTATTATTATTTATAGCTACACCATATTTTGTTGTATAGCGTACGAATTAATAAGAAGTTTTGTTTGTTTGAATGTGTGTATACATCACTTTGGAGTTTGGAATTAGGTTATAAACAAAATATACAGCACTCTATAGTCTATAATATTCCTGTTATTAACGTATTATCCCATGTTTGAAAGGTCGATACACGTAAATCATTCCACTATTTACTCTCGAAACTTTCATATACGTACGTCTGTTATAAAACTATATTTCCATCTATGGGAATCTTCAAAGCTTTGGGAGGTTTGTGACGTTTGTCATATCTCCCCATTGGACTTAACATTTGGGCTAAACCAATATTTGTCTTCATTGGACTTAGCAGGCCGATGTTAAGTCCAATGGCTTTACTGTTTAACAATAGCATTTTATATCCAAGTGGTTTTTTTAAGTAAAATATTAGTAGTGATTATTCTAGTTACGGGCCGAGAGATATTTTACATGAGAGTAGGATTCTGATATTCATTGTCAACTCAAATGTGGCGATTGTGTTAACGGGCTTAGTAGATATGTTCCCATTGTTTGGTTACGTTGTATAACCATAATACATATATGGCGAAAAATGCCTATTGTGTTCGGATGGATACTACCCTCCTCTAGTGGAATTTAAGAATTACTAGTAGGATGCAATGTTCTGGCCAATGATACAGAAAAAATTGAATACTATTTTACAGAAAGCGTATGTGTATCAAAAATTCTCAACACCCATTCATAAGTATTCGAATTTTGGGTGTTCAACAACCAAGTACTATATAGTCTCTAATTCGTTTCAAATATGCTCCCTCTATTCCAATATATGAGATTTTTAAGACTTTTATTTTTGTTCTATTTTATAAGATTTTCTCAGATTTTATGCACTTATTATCTAGATATAATATTTTTTGAATATTTAAATTATGCATTTTTTCTATTAGTTGTATTTTGTTTAATAATACAAATATTTATTGTTTCTTAATCTTTGTGTTTTTAAGTTAAAAACTCTTATATAATAGAACAAAGGAAGTAATAAAACCAGCTATTAATTAAAAAAAAAATCCCCCAGTTTTGGTTAAACCTCCAAAATATTTATTTCTTAAAAAAAAACTGTCAAAAAGAGAAATTGGAAAATAAAAAAACTCTTATTGGTCACTCACAAGTCACAACTAAACCTTTCTTTCATTACATTTATATTTGTGTAAGAAACCAACTCCAAAACAAAACAAAACCTTAAAAATTGAAACAAAAACAAAACCCATTTCTGAAACTCTCCTATTGTACTTTGTTGTGTAGAGGTAGACAACAACACTAAACATGGGTTTGCAAAGAACTACAGTGGTCTTCTTCTTCTCTTGTTGGCTTCTGCTGATCATCGAGAAAACGACAGCGTTCAAGGATAAACAGCTGTTCCAGGCGCTTGAAACGGAGAACGCAAACACCATGACCGCGGTGATGGAGCGAGGGTTACGGACGACTCGGCGGCCGGAGCACAAGAACGCTTATGCGACGATGATGTACATGGGAACACCAAGAGACTACGAGTTCTATATCGCGACACGTGTCTTGATCAGATCGCTTGAGGGTCTTCACGTGGACGCTGATATCGTCGTCATCGCCTCTCTCGACGTACCTCTTGACTGGATTTACGCTATGTAAGTGTGTCTCCTCTCCTCTCATCATCTTCTTCTTCTTTTTTTCTACATCGCCAAAACGCCGCCGTTTAATTTTCGTTAGAAAAAATGAAAATAGATATTTCTTTTTCTTCTTTTAGTCTTAATCAAAGCTAAAACATGTTTTCTAGAATAATTTTTCCAAGCTCATATGAATTATACAAATTTCATAATATTTTGTTTCTCGTTAATCTTTTTTTTTTCAAAGGAGAGAGCATAGAAGATCAGTAATGGGGGAAACATCATGAAAAATCAACTTTTAAAATTTGTATAGATTATTATATTTAGATTAGAAGACGAATAATAAGAATATGAGCTTTGGCTCTTTTAGTAAAAAGGAAAATTAAAGAGTCAATAGTCGCAGACTTGTGTTGATGTTTCCACGACCATTTGTAGACTTGCTAAGTCGTTTTTTTCCTTTCTCTTTTCTATTATTGATTGATAGAGAATATCTCGAACATATAAGCTTAATTACTTCTAAAATGATTTGTTTCTCTTTTTTTTTTGGTCAGTATTGTTATTATCAGGGATTTATGTACCATATCATATCACTCTTATTTCATATTCAAAAACATTAACATGGGTTTAGGTGTATTTCCTTTTGTTAGTGGGGAAAGTGGGTATTTATAAGAGATTATATGTGTAAAACAATAAATAAATCTTTGTGGATTGCTTTGATAATTTTATTTTTGAAGTGATTAGAAAAGATAATATTGTTAAAAGAGTATAATTGGGATAGCTGTCATATGCCTTATTATAGAATTTCAAAGTCTCAGACTTTTTTACAATTTTCTTTTGTTGGTTTCCCTTTTCTAGAATTAGAAAGAAAACTACAATATCAAATGTTTTCGTCTTTTTTTGTTACATTTTACACATAAATACATAATACAAGAAACGGTTGAAATTAATATAATTCACACTAATGGGATATGTAGGGAAGAAGAGGATGGAGCTCAAGTAGTGAGAGTAGAGAATCTTGAGAATCCATACAAGAAACAAACTAACTTCGACAACAGATTCAAGCTTAGTTTAAACAAGCTCTACGCTTGGTCTCTTTCTGATTATGACCGTGTCATAATGCTCGACGTCGACAATGTCTTTCTCAAGAACACCGACGAGCTCTTCCAATGCGGCCAGTTCTGTGCTGTCTTCATAAACCCTTGCATCTTCCACACTGGCCTCTTTGTGTTGCAGCCATCAATGGATGTCTTCAGAGACATGATTCATGAGGTTGACGTAAAGAGAGATAACCCTGATGGAGCTGACCAAGGGTTTCTTGTCAGCTACTTCTCCGATTTACTCAACCAGCCTCTATTTACTCCTCCTCCAGATAACCGCACCAGTGCGCTTACGGGACATTTTAGGCTTCCTTTGGGATATCAAATGGATGCATCTTACTACTGTAAGTGGCTACTACTCTCCCATTTCAGTAACAAAAATAGCTAAAACGTTTTTGCTAATCCTTCTATGTAATGCATGTCATTCTCTTTATTAGACCTTAAACTCAGATGGAACGTACCATGTGGACCGAACAGTGTGATCACGTTCCCAGGAGCAGTTTGGTTGAAGCCATGGTATTGGTGGTCATGGCCTGTTCTTCCTTTAGGCCTTTTATGGCACCACCAACGCCGCTACACCATAAGGTACGTATTATAATACTCACAACTTACAAGTATTGTCTTGAGTCCTATATTCTCATTGGATACATTACATGCTCTACTTTTAAGGACTAGTATGGAGCGGACTAATTCTTAGTTACCATTGCAGTTACTCCGCAGAGATGCCTTGGGTCCTAATTCAAGCAGTTTTTTACTTAGGAATCATACTAGTCACGCGTCTAGCGCGTCCCAGCATGACCAAGCTATGTTACCAACGTTCTGATAAGAATCTAACCATGATCCAGACAGCTTTGATCAAGTTGGTTGCACTCCTTTTGATCCTCTCAGCCTACGTTATACCATTCTTCATCATCCCAAAGACGATCCACCCGTTCATTGGTTGGTCGCTCTACTTAACCGGCTCCTTTTTTCTCTCTACCATACCCATTAACACCTTCTTGCTTCCAATACTCCCTGTCTTAACACCGTGGCTTGGCATCATCGGGACACTCCTCGTGATGGCTTTTCCTTCTTATCCTGATGGCATTGTCAGAGCGTTGTCGGTTTTTGGGTATGCCTTTTGTTGTGCACCATTTCTTTGGGTCTCCTTTGTGAAAATCACATCACACCTTCAGGTTTTGATTGACAAAGAGATTGTGTTTCCACGGTTGGGTGAATTCGGAACTATTCCTGGATTCAGCAAATTGTATTGATTAAAACGGTGAGATTCTGATCATCTTGGTGGGATTGCTACTGTACATTAACGTACGTTTAGAGAGGATTAAGTTTACAAAGACAATATTAACTTTGATCTTCTTCGATATCACCCTACTGAACAGAACACTATTGGAAAGTCAAATCACTAGTGGTTATTATAAGAACATTAAAATGGGCCAGATTTCAAGAAACCAATAAAGGCCCACGAAGCATTATCTTCAGATTAGAGCCAATTCAGATTCACCAGGCACGATGTGGGTTTTATAGAGAGGTTTTCCCAAATGCCACTGCACTCACTTTACAATGTGGTATGATTCCGAACACCTTTTCTTTTTTACAAATTATATGATAAGATCATCACCAAACGAATGGTGAACATGATACTTGTAACTTTGTAGCTCTCTAACTCTAATATATATAAAGTAAAATAAGGACACTGAGTTCATCATATACAGTATTTTGTGTTTGTATGATCGGTTTGGTTGGTCCACATATTTTCCAGCGGAAGCTTAAAGTGGAAAAGTTGTGCCACATGTCCGACCTTTTTCACCTCTGATATGACCAACGAGTACATTTACCAAAGTACCCATTCATCCATATTTGTTCAGCATTTTATTTTAACAAAATGTAAAATTGAAAACGTAAAACGTAAATAAAGAACCTTTCTTTTCAAAATTCTAGTGTGGATCTGTTGTCAGTGGATAATTGTATATTTTTATAGAACTCTGAAAGCCAGGCAAGGGTAAACATGCAGAAACGTGAGTTTAAAAATGATGGATATATATAGTCATCAGTGTTTGTAATAAATTAGCACATTACTTAATGGTTGGTGCCCATAGAAAAAAAAGTGTATTGTGTTATTTGTTTGTTTTTTTTGTTTTTTTAAAGAAAGAAACCATAAATTGTTCTGTTTTGGTATCAAACTACAACTAGTAGTAGACAGAGTTTACACAGATGCAGCTGGCGACACAAAACTACACCCACAAACAAAGTAGGAATTAACGAACCAAATTAGTATTTATCTTCTCTTTTTAATTTTTTGTCAATAAGTAATTGTCTTCTTGTTGTTTCAAGTAAAAAAAGTAGTAATGCATTATGTGGTGGATATAGATATATAGATGTACCATCATCTCTGATTCAGATTAGCACTAGATTGTTTTTACCCGTAGCTAGCTAGTTTTGTTACTTTAGATGGTTCGAGTATCAGCCTAGAGTCTCTCTACTATCTAGTATACTAGTTGTGTGATACGTAGTAACTAGTAAGAATAATATTTACATCTATATAATAATATCAAACCCTTCACACACACACACACACTTGTGTTGTGTCATAGAAAAATGCAGTTGAAATTAAATAGTTCCATTAAAAACACATTAAAGAAGATCCAAGATCCAAAGATCATGCAAAAGAATCATCTCAAGAATTCCAAATATCTAAACGACATTACCAACAAAAAGATCCAACAATCAAGAATCATCTCATCCATGACCCTCAAAAGCTCAAACTGTTAAAAGATAAGAAATTTGAAACAGAGCTTGTTTCTTGCTTCTTCTTCTTCTTTCTTTGGTTGTCTTACATCAAAAGTACATTGTTTGATTATACAGTCCCAAAGATTCCAAAACCAATCAACGGTTTTTTTTTTCCTAATAAAGAATATAAAATCTTGAAGACAAACCAAACCATCAAGATTCTTTGATTTTCCGATTGTTATATCTAATCTCTTGAAAACCTTTTATATGGCTGAAACGACGGTGACAGCTTCGGCTTCTTGCGGCGGAGGAAGATTCAGATCTATCATACAGCGGCGGAGCTCCGGAAAATGTATTTGTTCCGGCTTTGTCTCTTCCGATGGTTCTATCAGTTTGATCTCAAGCTCTCTTGAATCTCTTGACAGCATCATCAAACACATAGCTAAGTCTTGTTCCGGAGAGCCATCGGAGACAGAACTCCTCGCCGGTTCCGGTGACTCGTGGCTCGTCTTCTGCTTCTTCGAGTTTGCAAACACTCTCTTAGTACTCTTCTTCTTCTTCTTTGAAACCTCCGCTCTGACCCTTTTCTTTACCGGGTCTCCGGACTCAGGTTCTGTCTCTGTCTCACTGTTGTAAACAGTGGATGACTCAGGATCCGGGTTAAAGACCCGGAAACTCTTCCTCGGGTTCTCACGCAGCCCGTAGACGAGAGATTTGCCGTCGGAGGAAGAGCAAGAAGATGAATAGACCGAGTCAGCAAGTTTCTTGCGAGTGGAGGGTTGGGATGAGACCAAGTGAGACTTCATGTGACCACCAAGTGCCCTGCCGTTACAGAAACTCTTGGAACAGAGCTTGCATTTGTGTTTGTTCTGCATTTTTCTCTTCTTTTCGCCAAAGAGAGAACAAGAACAGAACAAAAAGCAAGACAAGAAACCTAAGAAGACTTTAATAAGTTTCTTTTTGTCAAATCTCTTTCTCTCTCTCTGTGTCTCAATTTGATTAGAGAGACTGTTGTGTTGTAGTGTATAGAGAGAAGAGAGAGATAGGGAATGAGAGAAGTTAATAAGAGTAGGTAACAAGCATTCCTCTCTTTTTCACAAACCCCCAAAATTAACAATTATGACTTTTTGGTCCATACGATAACTACTACTACTACTACTAATGATACGTAAAGATTAGTATTTTTGTTTAGTTTTAGTAACGAATTAAGTGAAAAAAAACTATACTACTATTTGTTTAATGCTCGGCTGACAAAGATAACCACCGAGTGAAGAAGAATCTTGAATTAATGCAGAAAGACTAAAATTTGGATTATTATTACTTAATTACAAAGGTGGTATTGTTTAAAAGAAAGACCAAACCAAAAAGCTGTTGTTTTGCTTCTTTAGTTGATTATTGACTTGTTAAAGCAAAAACAAAAAGAGAGAGAGTTTTCTAAGCACAACAACAACGAAGTATGTGTGAGAGAATTATGTTGGTTGAGTTGGTTGAAGCAAAGTGTAATGGCAAAATCGGTTGAAGCGTCGAGGTTCTAATGATATAAACGGTTGTATTAGTTGCATTGATTCTTTATTTCAATTGAGCGTTGAGGTTTAAATGCTGAAACGTCATTTCGAATACGGTTTAAACGTTTAGATAACTTGATCTAGGTAGTAATGAGTTTTGTAACAGTTAGGAAACGAATAATCTAAATCATCATCGCATGTATATATAATTGTACTTAGATTGTTATCCTTTAACATACGACTGTCGACCCATAATGATGATAGGAAAGGTCCAAAGTATGTTGAAAACATTTCACCTAAGTTTTTTTCTTTATTTATTAAGGGACGTCCAATCTCATTTCGTATAGTTTGTAGTTAACTGAAACACATGAATCTTAGTTGTTTATCCGACATGGTTTGCATTCAATCCCAATTGGTTTAGCTGAATTCAGGAACTCTTGGCTGTCAAATTTTTTGTTTTTGTAACCCGATAGATTTATAATACTCATTGCCACTTATTTCAAATCCAAGAAAGAGACAAAGAATTAAAGAAAAGAGGTTTTGTTTGTGAGTATGATGATTAGTGTCTTAACATTTTGAATTGTTGAACCGGGATTGATTTTTATTATTTATAATTACAGTTTTCAACTAATTCAACATTTTGCATCATATTGAAATCTATAACACGTTCTAAGTAATGGTTCATGATAAGGACTATAAAATGATTGCCATTGGCTCGATGCTTTATATAGTAATCAATTAGCTATATAACAATACTGCATAGTCTGTATTACTTACTAGTTACCACCCTAAAATATATTATATCAAGTGAAATTAATATCAAAAATTGAATTATAGTTGTATGCAATTAAAAGATAATTAGTTGTTGTATAATTTGACTACGATACAGAAAATTTGGGTGTCAAATAGTAAATATTGGCATCTATATATATAAAGTTAACTTTTTCTCTCTTCTCCTTATGCCACATCATCTGCCACATCATCATTCATATTAATTTTTTACATTGATTTAGAATTACAACACTTTAGTTTTTAATTTCTTTTCTACCTCATAACTTAGCTTTTATCTTATTTTTTATATTCAATATAATGGTTTTAAGAAAATAAATAATATAATTAAAAACATTTATGTCCAAAATAAATAAATAAAATATTTATTTATAAAGTAATGATCAATTTTTTGATTAATGGAACTAAATACAAAAACAAAATACAAAACAAGGATATTTATACTATACAGATAGATATACTACTAAATTGATGTCATCTGAAGCCACCTCAAACGAGAACACAACCGATTTTAGGCATAAGAAGTAGAAAAAAAAACTAAAAAGTAAAATGAAAACACTTGGATAAATAAATAAGTGGATTCACTAGAATAATTTGGCCTACAAAAATTGAAGGATTTTGAGATGTAAGGTTCTAACAGCTACTATTTGACCTAAATCAAAGTTTAACAAATAACAATAAACATTTCATATACTAAATTAATACAAAAACAACGGTAAAAACAAAAAAAATAAACAAAAAACAAAGAAAAATCAAAATATAAATTTTCAAATATAAAAAAAAAACAATTATAAAACTCCCGCGCGCAGCGCGGGTCAACAACTAGTTAACATATAATGAAAACTAATATACTTTTTTTAACAGTTATGTATTAAAATTTATGCATTGCATAGTCAATTATTCATAGACATAGCAGTAGTTAAAAGAAAGCATTATCTTGTTTTAAGTACATACCTTTGGTAATCATGGTTTAATTGAAAAGGTGACAAAGAAAATACATTTTTTAACATTACCAAGAATATAAAAAAAAAAGTAAAGATTTAAATTTGAGTTGTTGCAACTTTAATACATATAGTTGAGTAAAGAAGAGGCCTTACACAATGGAATCTTCTATAGTGTTTTAACTACTTAGCTTTGCTTCAATCTCAATTTTCACTATATATCCCATTAAGATGATTAGAGAACCCAGTAGAAAAACACAAGAAAACATCACTTTATTCCCAAACAGTACAGCATGATCCAAGAACAAGAAACATGTTTAAACAATACCCTTTTATATAAATTCTCCCTTTAATCAAAATGAAAATATCACTTTTCTAGAAAATTCAATCAACCCTTTTAATATCTTATTCAAATATTTTTCTTTAGATACTTTCTTTCAGTAATATTCTAAGTTAAACTACAGATCTAAAGAAAGTTATATGCACATAAATATAAAACTGTTCCCTTTAAGTTCACTAGATATTGAAGAAGACTCAACCTCCCACATGTGAACAAATTCTCTTAAAGCTGAGCCTCTTCTTGAAAGTCCTTTAATCTTTTTGTTTTACACCGTTGTTCCGAAGGTGCAACCCTAAAATATATGTACATAACAAAATGCATAGTACTAGAATGTACTTAGCCAAACGCAATACAACTCATCTACCTCTATAACGTATATTTAGTTCGCTAGTCGCATCAAAGCTATATAATCATTATGCCCTTTTTCCGAACGAGATTGACAAAAGAAATGAAGACCAAAAATGTAGGGACTAGGGAGGATGGGAAAGACGTGGGTTATACTAAAATACCATGCAAACACTTTGTGTTCATCCGAATGGTTAAACAATGATTGCGACCGCCTAAAACGTTCTAAACTGGTGTAGCAACCGGTTTTGACCGTTGTTTCCATTAACCATTTGAGTGAGACAACGAAAAATATGCCGAGAGAAGATTGTGTACCTCTATCGGAATAATCAGCCGGGGTTGAGTGCTGAAAAAGCCCCGGCTGAAAATTAAATCTTTTGACCGTAACTTATCTTTACACATTGAACAACTTTTATGTAGCTAAAGTCACAAGACTTGTGTATGTGATATTCTTAAAAACCAACTATCATAGTATATCACACACGGTAATACATGTATATTATATGTACAAGTAAAACTGATCTTACTTCTTTAAAAACCTAAACTAAAGTCACAAGAAAATTAAAGAAAGGGAGAAGGACTTAAAACTAAAGCAAGAGAGGCTTCTTAAGATCAAACTCTGTTCTAAGCACACTTTCTTCATCATCTTCTTTTATTTCATCTCCTTTTCCTTCTTCTTCTTTCCCTTTAGCCCACAGAACGAAGTAGAGTCCTCCGAACATCAACGCCATCCCCGCAAAGCTAATTTGACACAGAAGAAAAAGGATGAGTGACTTCTCTTTTGTCTAAAAGATCTTACTCTGGAAAAAAAGGAAAGTTGAAAAAAAATGTACCTTCCTAGGTTGAAACTCTCTTCCATGGTAAAAGCAGAGACAACAACACATACCACAGTAGCAATTGGACTAAAGAGAGACACAACCACTGGTCCTTTCCTCTTAATCACCCATGCATTGAAGCTTAACCCTCCTCCACTCACCAACCCTCCCTAGAAATACAAAATTCTTTTAGTTACATTTCGAACACATTCAAATGTTATGTTGCACACTATATATATGATTTATGAGATATGTACCAGCATTGCGTATCCCACAAGGTGGCCTACACCGATGACTGATGCACTTTCCATTTCCATACTTCCATTAAGAGCATACTGCAAAGCTACAGTGGTGATCCCACCCATCAAAGACACCATCGAGAACATCGATACAGGAGCCGGAAACTCGGCTAGTATGGATGCCTAATTAGGACGATCAAAGTGATTTCACAAGCAACGAACCGGATATATGATAGCTCTAGAGCTAAGAAGGGGCATAAGGTGAAACCTGAAGGACAACACTAGAGGACAAGCCGCAGATGGCGAGGAGGAGATAGAGGCAACCTAAAATCTTGTCCTTGTCTAAAACAACCTCGTCAGGGACAATAGGCATAGTCTTGACCGAGCTAGAAGTAGCAGCAGTACTGTGCATTAAGCTCATAATTAAAGCTCCCATCACACACAACACTGTCCCTCCCATCTTAACTCTACTGTACGTACAACTTAGCTTCACTTTCTCCATCCTTAAACAATAAGAGTTATTCAAAACCCATTATTAGCGATCATGGCTTAATCTTTAAATACTAAAAAAGATTGAATCAACATAAAAGTATAGTAATTTTACCCAGCAGCCCAAGCAATGACAAAAATGAAAGCAGGACAAAGATTAGGCATAGCTGTAGCCATTGAAGCAGAGGTGTGTTTCATTCCTTCTAAGTATAGCCACTGGAACAGAGTCACTCTGTTTCAAACAAAAACTTCTCTCTTAATTAATCACTTGTTGTGATTTTAGTTCTTCTCCTAAGCTTTCAAAAGAAGTAAGTAATCTAAAGAGATAATACTAAGAAGAATCTAGCAATAAAAAGTCATGCAGAAATTAGAAATTAAAATATTTAATTTATTTACCCAGCAAGAGAAACTGAAACTAGTTTTGTCTTCAACTTGAAACTTAGACTTGTAGGCCAAAGTTTCCTGCAAAACAAAGATAGAACCATTTTACAAAAAGTTCCAAAAAACAATAAAAATGAGAAATATAGTTTTTGGAACTTTGGTTTGACCTTTCAAGGAGAAAAGCGAGAGGAGTGATGAGAAGAAATGAAGCAAAGGTGCAGAGGATGACTATAAGAAGTGGGTCGATTCCAAGAGACAACAAGTGACTCAGTAGCTCCGAGTTACCGGCGTAAATCACCTGAGCTCCGGCCAATCCTCCGATGATCCCTACTTCTTGTAACGTCTCTCTCTTCATCATTTTTTTAACAGCACAACAAACCAATAAAAAAGAACACTAACGGGTATATCAGTTGGAACCCATTTGGCAATAGAACACGAGTTTACAAATTTTGTGGGTGGGTGGTGGATGGAAAGAAAAACAAAACAGAGAAGACAGTTTGAAGTGTTTCTTGTTAAATGAAAACAGAAGAAGAGACGCTTTGTTTGTGATATCTTTTCTGGTAATGCGTACTCTTGAAGTTGAAACTTTCTCTTGTTGCTTTTAGAAGACATGTGTCCATTACATTGCATTGGTTTTGTAGAGTGTCTCTCTCGCCATTATAGCCTTTTTTGGGAGAAGCGTAGGTTTTAATTTATTTTAAGACTAAAGGGTAGTAGTAATTATTTTTTTATACCATAGTAGTAGAGTCCTCAATTTTTTGTGCAATGGATTTAATATTTTGCTTGATGTTTGAAATAAGACAAAACAAAAAAAATTGTGAGCGGTTAGCTTAACTTGTTAAGAAATAGATAATTTGGTGCGTTTTGAAAATTTATGGTCCAAAAATATCAATTATTAATAGATCGTAATAACTTAATTATCTGAATATTTTAGGTATTTTTTTAAAAATAAACTAATTTAGAAATTTCTACTATACTTCTGAAAGAAAAAAAAATTTAAAAGTAATTTAACCTGAATTTAAATCTGATCCGAAAATAAAAAAAGTAGTTGAACAGATTTTATACTTTTAAACTCGAATAATCCAAATGAATACCCGCTCATCCCCTAATGTGTATTCAAATGTAGTTAGCTAAATGAAATAACTAAATTGTTATATAAAAAAAAACGTATTAATAATTAAAGACTAAAGAATGGCATATCATACAAATTTATATGTAAGGTAGATGAAATTTTTAATTTCTAGTATGTAAATAAAGTGAAGTTATAAAACATGCCTAAAAAAAGAAAAACCAAAAAGGAAGTAGAAAGTGAAAAAAAAAAAAAAAAGAGACAGATGCGATAAACTCCGTCAGATACGGGGGGAGTTTAGTGTTCTTTTTTGTTTGTATTGTTGTTTTTGGATAAAACAAATACGACAGCGTATCATCCACTCCTCTTCGATTCGTTTAACGTGTACATCTCTTCACCTTCTTAATTTAGTCTTTTCTTTTTCTTTGTTCCTTGGCATGCATATCTCTCTCATTAACGTATGTACCTATTTTTAACCTTTGTTAATGGCTACTTAACACTATATTATGCTAATGACATACACAAAAGAACAATCTTTAAATTGAGTTATTTAAGATTTTAACAATCGAAAACACCAAAAAGGATGGTTTAAAAGTCTTTGTTTATATATATATATATACAGTATATATATATATATAGCTCTCAAGAATTACTTAACTATTTTGACAAGAACAACAAGTCTATATAACGAATTAGTTAGTTATACATATTACACCATATATGTAATGGATCTGTAGAGCATAGACATGTACTTGTGTATTTGTGTTGTGTGGAGTGTAAAAAGATGGTGGTGACTGGTGAAGATGAAGCGTAAAGAAAAGAATAAAAGAGGAGTGTAAGAAAGACAAAAGAGGAGCAAAAAAAGTGGGAAGCCTTACACGTCACTCTCTTTTCCAATGACTTGTGAACCCTGTCATCGTCTCTCTTTTGTCCCCCCCTCCCTCTCCTTTATTTTCCTCATCAAACTACTATATAATAATGCGATTTGATGACAAATTAAATTAAAATAATGCTTATCGATCTTATAATAATATTATATATACTATTTTGGGACCACTCACAGGCATCTTGGATATGCAGACTCTAATTGGGATTAACTTGGGAGCTCTTTTATGATCAGTGTATAATTAGTCGTTTTTGTTTTACATTACTGTGAAAATAATATTTCAAGTTCTACAAAAAAAAAAGGATCAATGCTTTGATTTTGTATCATATATGATGTCTTGACACTATCCTTGCCTGTATTGTTCACTCAACGCACATTGGCTTTGGTATTGAACCTCTTGAGTAAGATAAGTAGTCCAATTAAGGGAGATAAACTTAAATACGGGTAAGATCAATTCCTGAATACTTTGTGATATTACAACAAATAAATAAAAATGTTTAAACCCTTTTGCTAAGAAATGTCTTTTTTTCTTCTCCTTCGATATCTTCTCTCAAAATTGCTTTTTCGTTTTACCTACGTTTATATCTGCACGACAGCAAAAAAAGAAGAAGAAGAGTACACAGAGGGAGTTAAAACCAACTAATTACAGTTTGAGATTATGACTTAAAAGAATCAGATATGTAAGAATATATGTTTCTTACCGAGCTTTGCTCTTGAACGAGTTCTTTGACTTCGTCCGGGGTTTTGCTGCAGCCGCGCCGCCGCTTCTGCCCTGTTTCTTCTCGCTCATATCACTCTTGAACAGATCTTTCATCTCTTCACCTCGAGGCTGGCTTTTTGGTTTACTCCGGATTTGTTTCTTGTTCGGTGTTGGTCTTTCCATCTTACCTGAATCAATTGCTCTCTGTTTTGCTTTCACTGCTTTTGCTCGCCGGTAACCAATATCCACTAGTGTCAATCCCTTCTTCTCTGTTTCTAGCCTCTTCTTGTCTTTCCCCTGAGAACAAAACACATTCAAAATTCAATACAGTGTTTCATCATACCGTCGAGATAGCGGTGATGTGTATCACTGATATTACTTACTCTTGATCTTCCTCGCTTTTTATCTCCTCCTTCTTCTTCTTCTTCCTCTTCTTCTTCTTCGTCATCTTCTAGCATCTCTCTGGCAGCTTCTAGCTTTCTACGTTTTTTCCTCGGAAGATTCTTCTGTACTTGCATGATCAAGAGAATTGTAAGTTATATAGAAAGAAGAAATCAACACCACACAGGAAGGATAATGCAACTGAATAGTGAAGAGCTTCTTGATAAACTGACCTCGCGTTCACGTTTTCTCTTTTCCTTCATCTTGAGGTCCTCTGCTATATTAGCACTAACTAGTTCGCTTCCAGAAGGGTTTCCTGCAGAATCCTGTTCAGAGAAAGTATCCAGAATGTTTCAGACAAGTGTTTATCCTCTCTCTACAACAACAAAAAATTTATGAAACAAAAAGAGCACCTTTTCAGCCTGTGCAACGAGCTTCTTCTCCTTCTCTGTCATGAACCATGTCCTTTTTGGGCGTGCATATATTTCATCTCTGTGCTCAAGCATGTTCTCCGCCTGCAGAAAGAAACGCATAATCAAGATTTTGAAACTATTCCCAAGACAACTGAACAAAGTAAAAAACCAAAGCTGCCTACCTTTGCAAATTCCATTTCAGCTTTCCTTAGAGCTCGCTCATCCCTGAAATTTAAAAAAAAACACCTCAAAACTTAAGTATACATATCAATCAATTCTCCTGGGATACCAGATTTCTTTGATGAGTGTGAATGAAACCTCTCTGCTGAAATGACGGCGGAATACTGATCTTCCATTTCATCGATTATCTGAGACCACTTGACAATTGACTGCTCTGGGATGACTCGGCTCTTCAACTTTGAACCCACCTTCTTTGCCTTGTAACCAAAAAAACAAAGTCAATTCCAATGTCCAAACTAGAGCGACATGAATTGGGTAAACACAAGATCCATGTATGTCTGAAGATTCACTTACAATGACTTTCAAAAGGGATCGGTCACTATCAGTCACAAAGGTAACAGCATAACCTTCCCTTCCAGCCCTAGCTGTTCTACCAACTCTGTGAACATAACTGCAAAATCAAAGGAAAACATATTGTCCTCACTCAGTTAAAGAACAGGAGAAAAGAAAGCTGGTAGCTTTTTAATTTAACCATCATACAGGAAATATCTCCGATTTACCTATCTATTTCCCGAGGACAAGCATAATTTATAACAGTTTGAACACCAATGATATCAAGTCCCTGGAATGATCAAACCAGACAGTGTTAAGAGGTGAAATAGCAGAGCTACTGAGAAGAGAATATTGATAATAAAGTGATTGCTTCTTCTACTTACTCGAGCGGCTACATCAGTAGCAATGAGAAAATCAACCTCTTGCTTTCTGAAAAGTTCCAGAGACTGCAAAATGATACCATTAAGTGCGTGCAAACAGATAATAGAAATATCCATGTATCAATAAAGCTGATGTGTCCAAGTTTCTTACATCAAGACGTTGTGCTTGAGTCAGGTTTCCATGAAGTTCAGCTGCTTTGAGGCCAGCTAATCCGAACAAAATTTTCAATCTATGTGCAGCTTGTTTTGTTCCACTGGAACAAGAAGGAGAAAGAAATCTTTTAGGTATAATGCAAAAAGACAAACTATGCAAGCAGTTTATGGAACTGGGTTTGGACAGGCATCATATTTATAAGTCTAACCTAAAGATAATGACTTTTGACTTAAAAGTTCTTGTGCACAATGATAGAAGAACAGCTTCCTGATTTGCCTCACGAGTCCTGCGTATTCTTACCACCCTACAGTTAAGAGAGAGAGTTAGCTTCATGGCATACACGCATGATGTATATTTAAGATCAATAGCAAACAAGCTGCACATAGATCTGGGATCTAGAAAAGGTTAAAAATGATAAGTAATGGTTGACATACTCCTCCGTCAAGCCTGGTGGCCTTCTAGCTGATGGATCAGCTGAGAGGCGCAACGGTTTGTTCAACGAAAGTTTGACTAGCTCTTTAACTTCTTCAGTCATTGTGGCTGAGAAGAGCATTGTTTGCCTTCTCTTGGGACATAAGCGAACCTGCATAAAAGATGTGGACTCAAATATAATCCATAACGAAAAACAAAAAGAAACTCTCATGTTAAGTCAAATTATATGATGTCCACTTCTCCAGACTAAGAACTAGCCAAGACAAAGGAATCCCATCCAATTTAATACCAGGTCCAACAGGTACCAAACAGAATAAACAGATAAATGCAAAGAAATAGGAAAGATACCAGCTCTGTTATCTCAGTGGCAAACCCAGTTTGTAGAAGGCGGTCGGCCTCATCAAGGATTAAAACCGCTAGATCATCCAAATCAACAGACATAGAATTACGCAAATGATCTATCATACGTCCAGGAGTTGCCACAACAATATCTGGCATAGATCTTAAAACCACCTCTTGCTCCTAACAAAAGAAACATTAGAGGTTTTTAGCAATCTTGCTAAAAATTGATCCCCATATTAAGAAACATCTCTCAGAGAGAAAAAAAAAAAAGCTCCTTCTCAAACATCAAATCATGTAAACAGATACATACCCTTACAGAAAGCCCTCCTACAATCAATCCACACTTGATATCAGTGAATTGTGCAAGCTTTTGAATCATACTGTGAATCCTGGAACACATTCCAACGAAACAACTCAACTTTTCAGCAACAAGAACCAAAAGAACTTTAAAAACTTAGTATTGTTGCGGGAGGCAAAGTAATGCTACTTACTGAACCGCCAATTCCCTGGTTGGAGTGAGAATAAGAACTCTAGTAGCAAAGACCCGCTTGGGACGGAACAGCAACCTCTCAAGAGTAGGTAAAGCAAATGCAGCAGTCTATTACAACAAGGAAAATTGAAATCATCATTATCAAAACTCCACATGTTAGTGAAGAAGAAAAAAAAAACCCTCAAACAAGTACCCACCTTTCCTGATCCAGTGATAGCACTGGCACAAAGATCACGTCCTGTAAGAGCTAAAGGTATACAAGCTGCCTGCATTTGCAACACCAGCTATTAAGACAAAAACTACAAACAAAAAGTAAATTAGAACAGTCTTGCGGAATAAACTGGACCTGAATCGGAGTGGGTTTCTTGTATCCAAGAGTTTCACAAGCTCGAAGCAACGGACGAGAGAGATTGAGCTCCATGAAAGTATCAGCATGGAATGAAACTCCATCCACTGTAGAGAAAAATGGCTTGGGAGTAACATCTTCTGGTTTGTACTCAGCTGCCTCATCGTCTTCCGATAGATACTCCTCCTTCACAGTTAAAAGCACTCTTTCAATTTCTCTACAAAACCAATTCGAAACCGGATTCAATCAAATTCAAAACAAAATTAAAGGGATTTACTTGTTTATCAGCTTCAGCACCGGAGTCATCTGCTTCTTCTTCTTCTTCTTCTTCTTCTTCTTCGTCTTCCTCGTCTATAGAAATGGGAACTGGACGATGCTGAATAGCTTTAGAGATCTTTTCATCAATAGAGGTTGTGTGTCGACGTGCGTGTTCTTCACCAACGGAGCTGGAATAAGATGCAAAATCCCAAGGAGATTGAGCATCAGCACCATGTTTCCGCTTCTCATCTTCTTCTTCGTCATCTTCATCTTCATCCTCATCCTCCTCTTCTCCATCTTCGTCTTCTCCAGCTCTACGCTCTTCTGCTCCGTCTTCCTCTACGTCTTCGTCACCACTACTATCTTCTTCATTGCGTAGCAATTCGAGCTCGTCGTCACTAGCAGCATCGAAGAAGAAACTCGACGGCATTGCTAGGGTTTAAGAGGTTTCAGAATTTTCAGAGAGACGACCGCCACCGTCTAAATCGAACGAAAAGGTTTTACAAATAGGTCTGCGAAATAAAATAAATAAAAACCGAACCGAGTCGAATCGAATCTCTTCTTGGTTTGTGCCCAAATAAACCATTCGATTTCATAATCATAAAAGACCGGTTTGGTTGGAATTGAAACCAACTTGTTTTTTCCTTCCATTTAAAATTTTCAGCTTCCAGTCATTATCTTGGACTGGCCCTTTATGATACAATCATACAACATCTAAATGGGCTTATGTTTTGAAAATAAATACAGTATTTTGCTTAGGAACACAAAATAAAGTTATGATCAACCTCAACTATACTAGTAGTGTCATTATCAGTCCATAAACATCATTATCTTTCAATTTTTTGTGATAATGATATACACAAACTCAAAGATTAATTAGAGAAAGCCACCATGAAAAAGATCCTTTTCCCATAAACCTTTAATATTCCTAATTATCTTTGTACATTTAGTTATAAATAAATAATTTTAAAAAAAAAACAATATTCTTGATTCTATCGCAACAGAATAAAAACAACAACCAACAGAACATAACCGATCAGATTCCCCGACCAGAATCTCAGTGATACGGTGCTGTTTCGAATAGAATCTTCCGACTGCGTCAGTGAATCCAACCGTAATTTTGGGTTCGGCCCATACAACTTCAGCACACCTGCCACGTCATCAACCGTAAGGTCAACTTTTTTAGTCCTCGGCCGGAGACTCGGATACATAACCGCCGACTCTTGAGAGCTATGTCCTAACCCCAGCAAGTGACCAATCTCGTGAGTCGCCACTGACTCCAAGTCAACGGCCACATCAGACGATCCTTTAAAGTCATCGGCGACGACCCATGTCTCAGAAGCGTCGAGGTGAAGCCTCCCGTTCCCCGGCGCAAAAGCGTGTGCTAAAGTCCCAAGAACACCGTCAAACGGAAGCCCGTCGCCGTGGTCGCCGGTGTAGAACCCGATCTTCAAATCCGCCGCCGTGAAATCATCGATTTCCTCGAAACTCACCGGAATCACGCTCGCCCACTGCGAAAAAGCTCGCCGGAAAACGGTTTTGACGTCTTCTGACGTTAAGTAATCGAGTTTGTGTGTTTTCGAGATGGCGTAGGTTAGCGTGTCGCGGTTCCATTTCGGTTTACCGTTGAAATACGTATAATGAGCCGTTGTGTAGATACCCTCGTCGTTGACGATCATGTGTGTATCGCTAACGCCACATCGCGGTAACGACATGAGATTGACGGTACTCGTGTCGAGTCTCCCGGTTACCGGTAAACCGAGATTTTCTTGGTACAGAGAGATCGCCGATTCAAGACGACCATCGAACACGTCGGAGAAACTTCCCGAGCTTTCGTGATCACCACCGTCGTCGTTGACGTAACCGAATCGGTGGAGGTATCTTTTGAGCTCGGACACGCCGCTGACGTGGCTACCAACCTGAACATCTACAAGACGAGAGAAATCATGCCACGTGTTGTTGCTGACTTGGATTACTTGAGTTGCTTTTGCCGTGGATTCTACCTCCTCCGGTAAGTTTCTGGAGGCAAACCGTTGAGGGGAACAGAACAAGATTAAGATAAAACAGAGAGCTCTGTTCCTATAGATTAAACTACGAGACATTTGTCTGACGCAAGATTCAAAGATTCTTGAAAAAAGTTCTTGATTTAAATAAGAAGTTAATCCGTGGAGGTAGGATCGATGGAGACGAAAAGGTGAAAGAGAGACAGACAAAGGGGAAAGAGTTATGTTAGATTCTGACGTGAGCGTACATACTTTTAAACTCGTTAACTAAAAAGAATCTATGATTTGGACTGCTACTTTGAAGTTGAATTGAAATAAGTTGGTTCTGATACTAAGCAATAGGTTGGAATAGAATGTATGTAATGTGTGGTGTATTCAATAGAAGAACGAGGTATTTATACACATTGAGTTTCTATATGAAATAACTTGGTATCTATAACTAAATCTAGGGACAACTTAAGATTGACATATCCTAGTCCTAATATGGTTTGTTAACTGGTTGAACTGAATTTCTATCGGTTTGAAAAAACATATTGTAGTAGTTTTTTTTTTGTTCTAATAGGACAAATAACTACCCTATTAAATTTGATGTAGTATATATAGTATTTTTTATATCGAATCCTGCCACGATTTAACTTTAGATGTTTTCATTTTATGACATCCATATTATATATGACTATCGTATACCATGCAGCATTCATATAACTACGTTCTACGTAGATAATTTATACGTATAATCAGTGTTTAAAAATTCGGACTCGTACTTGGATGACAATGATTATTGCAGCTAATATTGCAACAAAGCTAAAGATGAAACGCAAACGAAAAAAAAAAAATGAATCAAGCAAAAATATATATTTTGTTTGACAAAGAATAGTCGTAAACGGACAAAAGAACAACAAAACACAAAGAAAGTGAGGAAATATTTAAAATTTGTTTACAGTATTACTTTACATTAAGTATCAAGAAAATAAGACTTTTCACAAGGCTTTAACTGAAGGTTACAATTATAAGAGATATATGAGATGTTTTCTTTTGTGTCATTAATATTGTATGTTTATGAAAAGATATAATATCAAGTAATTGGAAATTAATGGATTGATTTGTATTCGTGAGCAAGTTGGGCTAATTAAGCTATATGTGAGTACGACATAGATGATTGGGAATGTGTTCGTTGGAGTATAGATGAGATCTAACGAGTTTGTTGACCAGAATTAGGTAAATTTCAACTTCAACTCAATTATACTAATTTAACCATTGTTTAAGAAATCAAGACCTTGTTAAGGTTTACTTGTTCATATTCTTGGTTTTAGGGAAAACTTGTCTGAAGAAGAATCCCCCGGGATCAAGGAGAGGGTTACGTGTGAGAAGAGACAACTAACAGAATATATCTCCTCTAGAACAAGATAGGGAGGTTGAACCAAAAAGGATAAACAATTCTAACCAATCAAACTTAATTTGTAAAACAAATTTTGTAGATTACCTTTCGTATTCAAACTCTCTTTATCCGCATAATTCCAGATGTGTTTGTAATTTGTATCTTCTTTTGTTGGTTACCAAACAAGTTATATATAGAAATATAACTATCTGGACGTAACTAATTTAAAACTGTTCTTAAACATACCATTTTTTTTTGTCGTTGGAGGCTGCGTTTGTTTATCTTAAATATAAACCTACTCTAGCTAGCATGCTAGTTCTACGGTTCTACAGCTAGCTGGACCCAATCCAACCATTAAAAAATCGGTTTACGCGAACCTAAATCATACAAGATCGCTATAATCTTGTATAGTCTTGTATGGATCATACAAAAAAATAAAAAAAAATAAAGATCCCTATAGTCTATATACGATCAAATAGGACAATATCCAAAATGAATTCTGAAGACAGTTTTTAAACCTTTACGAATAATGCCACCAAAATGGTCGAGTTCTTTGCATATACACTCTTTCATCTCACTCGTAAAATCAGAGCGACCATTTGTTCGTGTGATTCAACCTCCCTTCTAAAATGAGTAAATCCCCAACGTAACTCACGGAAATTAGTATTCTTTAACACTTATTTCTAAGCTCATTAGTCAAATATTAATATACAAATATTTTACTTAAGTATACAAATTCCATGTAGAGATACTCGTCCCTTTGATTAATTAACGTCAACGGTAACAATTTATTTTATACAATTATGTTTATCTCTAAAGTGGACCAACGATATTCGGATCTACACCGTTGAATTAATTTAGTTTAATGCCTGAAAATAGTTTAAAAATTATCCTAATGACAAAAAATGAATTGTTATCCTCATTGACCGGAATAGCATTTCTAATTACGGATCTTTGTAAGAGAGCCTCTCTTCGTGCTTAAGAGTGACTTGATTTGTGAGGGTGACCCAACATAAACCAAATATATATATATTTTTTTATAATGATTGTGTTATTATGATTGTGTGATTTGGAGGTATTAGACTTTTTAAGTTCAACCATGGGTAAAGAATAAGGCAGAGAAACATTTTTCCTACCCAAAATGGTGTTTTCTCGAAATTTTAAATGATTGTAAAGTTTATTTATAGGGACTACTATTAAAATAAAATTGACTATTTGTGGTGCTAAGAAAAAAAAAAGACATTTGACTTTTTATAAGTGCCACCAAGATTCTGACAAAATCGAATTATATCCACGCTAATTAATTGAAATCTTAATTAATTATTGCGCAGCATAACGTGACCAAATTAATTAAGCTACATATCAGGAGTGTTGATCAACTTGGTGGTCCAATCCAATCAATCATCCCAACTATAATAAAACCTGCTTCTTATAGTCAGTAAGAAATCGGTTTAATATTCGGTATAGTCTAATAAATTCGTTTTGTTCCGGTTTGGTTAGCGTGTGTGTGATCGTAACTTGCCGGTGGTTTTGCGACGGACACGTGGGACGTTATTATTGTATCACGTGACTCATCTGTAACTACCTTTAAATACACTTACTGAAATTTTTATTTTTTGTTTTTCCATATTCTCATGTACATCTGTAATTTCTTTGGTCTATTTTAGTTATGTTTTTAAAAAGACATGAATGTTGAAATATTATTACAGCTTTTTTTTTTCTTCATTTCCTAAGCTTATTTAAAATTCTTTAATCATTTAGCATTTCGAAGAGAAAGAAGTGTGGCCTTGAAGCAAATCTTAACTGTTAAGTGGCGTGAAAACCGGTTTAATTATGTAAATTGTAACTCGGTTAAGGATAGTTTCGGGTTATTTTGTGATTTTAGTGTAGTTAAACCAATTAATTCAGGTGAATAATTAGAAGGAAAAAGAAAAACAGAAAAAAATTAGGACAAAAAGGCAAAGCTTGGTGGTACTGTCTCTTCTCTTCTCCGGCTTCACCATTTCGAAAAATCTCAAAACTTTATAGAGAGAGAGAGAGAGAGAGAGAGATCCTTACACATACTTTGCTAACTTTCTTGAAAACCCTAATCCTCGGATCTGTTTAACCTTAGATCAAGAACCTTCTGTCTTGCGATTTCTTTTGTCAGATTCCGTTGGTTTGGTGTCCCCGATTCTTGGTGGTTTCAGGGGATGATGGCATTTCCGTGAAATCAGTGATGAAATTGGGTTTGACAAGTCTATTATTCTATCTATGGGCGTAGTAGCTGAAGTGTGGAGGTCCAGCGTGAGGCTATTGACGAACTCGCCTCAGCTTAACGGTGGCTCTCATCACAAGAGTGCGTTATGCAAGTGGCGATCTTTCTCGGCTCAGCCCAAAAGAACCGTAATGTGGACATGGGTTTGTGGTTTCATGCTTTTCTCCTTAGGGGTCATCTCACTCTCCACCGGTCATGTTGTCTCTCACCTTGAGTGGTATTCCCAGCAATTGAGCAAACGGACCATTTTGGTACATCTTCTCATAGCAGCTCTTTGTGCTTGATTTCTCACTCTACACTGAGATTTTCACTCTTCTTCTGCTCAATTTTGATATCTTGGTTGCAAATTTTGTCTTCTTGAAAATTGGATGTTGTTCTTCAGGGTATGAGCCGTCGAGAACCAATTGATGTATGGAAAACACCAAAATTCTTTTATGGATGCAGTGAGAGAGGAAGGAACTTCCCTCGTAAGTCAGATCTTCTTACATGTGTTCTTGCCTCATTGAATAAAGGGCTTATAAGAAAGTGAAAGTTTTGTCCTTTTTTCCTAATTGATCTTGGCTGCTTAAAGGAAGTGTCTGTGACTTTATTGATCTTTTAGAACGTTTGACTTCTCCCTTTTAGTTTCTTTTAATACACAAGCATTACAATTTTGGATTTCTGTTCATGTAAAAGTAGACCAGGCTTCCATATTTCATCTTGGAACTTTGTTATGTAGATATATTATCCTCTTAACATTTTTCTTTCCATCTTGCAGCTGCTGTCCCGGAGCGCTCGTCTAATGGATATTTGCTTATTGCAGCTAGTGGAGGCCTTAACCAGCAAAGAACAGGAGTGAGTCAATTCTTACTCAAGAATAAATGTGTTATGCTATCACCGATAGAGTTTTATGGGTCAGAGTTAGGACCTGCAATTTTCCCCATAGAATTTCCATGTTATGCCGCAGTTGTTTCTTCATTGAAGTCTCCTTGGTTTGTTTTGGAAATTGAAAATAATGTTTCTCTTTATGAGCAGATAACTGATGCAGTGGTTGTTGCACGGATTCTTAATGCTACTTTAGTTGTACCCGAATTGGATCACCATTCTTATTGGAAAGATGACAGGTAAATTTAGCAAGTTTTGGCAAATGAAGGTATTCAGTAGCCACGTCAAATTTTTATGGGGATGCATCATCTGATTACTGTTTGTAACACAAACTATACTGAAACTATGTTCCTTCTATCGCTGTGCAGTGACTTCAAGGACATTTTTGATGTTAACTGGTTCATGTCTTATCTCGCCAAAGATGTGACTATAGTAAAGAGAGTTCCTGACAGAGTTATGGGTTCGATGGAGAAACCTCCCTACACCATGCGTGTGCCTCGAAAGTCTGCTCCTGAGTATTATCTTGACCAAGTATTGCCAATTCTCTTGAGAAGACATGTAAGACTATGTCACCTAATAATCAACTATAATTATAGGCATTACTAATTATTCATTTAGTTTTATCATATTATACACCTGTTATATTTGTTTTTGCTGTCCCCAAAAGTTCTGTGGTTCTGTTTCAGTTTTATATGGTTGAAGCTAATTCATATTTGTTGAAATCTTGCAGGTTTTACAATTGACAAAGTTTGACTACAGACTAGCAAATGATCTAGACGAAGAGATGCAAAAGTTGCGCTGCAGGGTCAACTATCATGCTTTAAGGTTCACAAAGCAGATACAATCAGTTGGGATGAAAGTGGTCAAGAAGATGAGAAAGATGGCCAAACGTTTTGTTGC